AAAGAAAATACAAATAAAAATAAATAAGCAAAAAATAAGAGACAGAGAGAGAGAGTTGGACGGGGAGAGCGGCTGAAACAGCAGACAGACGGAGGACACGGCACCCCGCTCCTGCACCCAGCTGGTGTATGAATATTGTTTGTGCATACAAAATACAAGCAAAAACAAAAGCAAAGAGGAGACACTGCCAGACGGGCAGTGGAAAGGAAGTTCCATGGCCGAAGCTCGGGTTACCTTTCTGCAGATCATTCCAGCAGATTCCCGACTTTGCCCAAAGGCAAAACCAAGAAGTAACAATAACAAATTCAATATTAGATGACAGAGCTGCAGATTGTCCATCCATCCATCCATGTTTTTTGGGGCCTGGCAATGCCCAAAACTTCGCTGTGCCAGCAGCCAGCAGCAGCGACGGCGACAATTATCTTTAAATTGAACTGCAAACATAATCAAGAGCAGCCCCAGCCCCAGCCACGGTCCGTCCTGTCGTTCATTTGAATGGAGAACTACTCCACGCCGGAGTCCCGTAACGGGCAAGGGTTCGACCCAGTGTTCGGCACTAACACCCAAAATCTAATTTATATCACGTTAATGAGCTTCTATGTCAAAACTGTTCCCCTCCTAAGCCAGCTCTGGTCTAAGCCCGCTCCGCGTGGCCCATACTCCGCTCCTGCTATGCTATTGTAAGGGTCGTCGTTCGGTGGCTCACGAGGGGAACGGGGAACGGGGAACGGGGAACGAGGGAGAGAGAGAGAAACTGTCAATTGTAAAAAGTTATGCCCGAGGGTTATCAAGCGGGAATTTGTGGCAATAAAACGTAGGCGAAACGGAATGGCAGGGAATGGAACGAGGAAATGGAAGGAACGAAAGTGGACCGAAGTGGGGAGTGGAATGGCTTGGGCTTTGGGGTAGAAACTAAGCCAATAACCGAAAGGTTATTTAATATTTGCCTCCCGCTCTCTCTCTCTCTCTCTCACACACACACACAGAGCAGGGCGTGGCTGCTGAGAATTTCGCCCAGTTCCTTTTTTCTTTTGTTTTTTTTTTTTTTGTCGACGGCCTGCGGCCAAATATTAAACAAATCTATGCGAAACGCATTGCGAAAGTTGTCAACTCTCTTTCAGATAACAAAAGAAAACACAACCCTGCCCCTGCCCCCGCCCCTGCCCACGCTTGGGCAACAGAAGCGAAGCGAAACGAGAAAAAGGCAAAACATTGGCAAATTTAAATGCAAATTAGCAGACAAAGCTGATGAGCAGCGGAATGCCACGAGTGGGTGGCTGCTGGGTGGCTGCTGCTTGCACCACCCAAACGTATTGACAGCATTGAAAATAATGGCTTAAACAAAGCCAGGCACAGGGCAGAGTGGGCGCACAGGTGGCTCTACGGGCACAAGACAAACTGTCGCATATGCTGCTAATAGAAGTTTACCGATGGCAGGCCAAATGTAAGGGCAAGGAGTGGGAAATACCCAAGAATGTGGCTGATGTGCCTGACTTGAACAAATCGAACCAGCGAAAGAGTATTGCTGCTGCCACGCCCACAGACAGAGAGAGAGAGAGGAATAATGTGGTTTGGGGGCAGACTCCACTCGATGGCGCGATGGCACGCACATACGCAATATTTTGATGCGATTTTGTGGCTCGCCAAATGCCACAGAGTCAGGCGAGCCCAGCCCATGTTGAATTTGTAGCCATGCGACAAAGTTCTCCACCGGGAGAGAGCATGGAGGTCAGGCCATGCGTCAGTCAATCAACAAAAAGAACAACACGAAGACAGCAACGAGCGAGGCTGAGTTTTAATTCAGAAATAAAAGTGTTTAGCTGCGGGTGTCATCGAATCAACGAGTGCGAAATCCAACTGCCACAAGAGCGACTCGAATCGAGTATCATACATTTGGCATGAGATTTTCCAGGGCACTGCCTCGCATACTTTGCTGAATAAACAGAAGAAAACTCATTGGAGCAAAAAGGGAGTGGAGGGAGTCAGAGAACTGAATCAGCACTCGGACTCGGACTAGGACTCGGACTTGGACTGACACAAACAATTTATGCACTCTGCTGCTCCTACAGTTATTACATTTGAGCTGCTCGACTGCTCCTCTGCCCTTTGCTCGTTTGCTCCTTTGCTCCTTTGACCATAACGCATGGCACCCACTCCCAATCCCAACTAGCGCTGCCAACTAGCGCTCCAGCGGTGCATTTTGGAAATAAAAGCACAATTTATTATTTATTTATTTCGTTATCACTTGGAACATTTATGAACTGAGCCACAATGGGGGGAAGGACGGAGACTCCGCACTCCTGCCACAATCGAGTAAATCCGAGGCAAGGACGAGGCGACCAATTGCCGCCCACAATGGAAATAAAAGTAATGGGTAATCCCTTCTGAATTATGGAGAATGGGTATTGAATGTGCCACAGGGCAGGGCGTCTGCAGCACTCACCTGTGCGGCATTTTGTGGCAAAGTGGATACAGCCAGAGGCTATCCCTATCCCTAGGACCCAGCCAGTTTGGCTTTTCTTCTTTGGCCAGCAGCTTAGGCGAATCATTTCAATTGCTATTCCCCCGCTGCTCGCCCCGCAGCTCGATTTGGCCACGCTGTGCACGCATTTACGATTAGAAAAAGGATACACGTAATTTTGGTGTCCGTCCAAACATTCCTTTTACGAGCTACGAGCCATAATAAAGGAGTTGCCCAGGCTCAGCCTGGCACCCGTGTGGCAAGGTGACAAGTTAGCGGTTATTATTATGCCATACGTACGGCTACGCTCGAACGAGCCCCAAAACCCCGTGAACCAGCCACCGACAGACCCAGCGACGACAGTCGCATTTACAATGGATTTGTTTTTGAATTGGAATTGGTTTTGGCCGCCACTCACCCCTTTTGGGGTTCACTTTGATGGCATTTTGAATGGCAAGCCAGGGGTTGAGGTTTTGAGTTGCTTTGGGTCAAATTCTGGCCTAGGATTGGGCTGGGAGAGAGCGAAACCAAGCGGCGATAAATATTTGGGGCACGGCACAACGACTACAAAGTGCACGGAGACAACGAGGCAGTAACGGAGTCACGATAGCCAATAAGTGAATGACTATCGATAACAGCGATAGCTAACGATAGGCAATAAGTGAATGGCTCTGGGTTATCGATAGCAGCATTAGCCTTCGATCTTGCTCTTTGCCTGGCTCTAAACACAATTTCTCTTTCTTTACTGCCTTCTTTGGGTCTTCCGCTCTGTCTCAGTCTCTGCTTCACGCTGCCACGAACAGTTTTGCATGTCACAAAAGTTCGTAAACAAGTGAAANGAAAATACTTTGACAATCACATTGTTCTCCCCCCCCCCCCCCCCAATCGGGAGGAGCCCAGGCCACAGGGCGCAGTGCTTTAGCGTTTTGTGTCTAAAACTATTCGAGCATCAAAAGTTTGCCTCAAATTACCGTCGCGCTACACAATTCAGGGAAACTTTCGCCCACGAAATCCCACCCAAAACTGCAGCTTGAGGCAGATGCCACTGGAGTTGCATTTGTTGGCTGATTAGCTCGAGCGGGAGAAGTGTGTGTGAGCGGTGGGAGGGGAGAACTGCAAGTGGGATTCCACTGCAATTCCTGACATTTGCCAGCAAGTTTGTGCCTGCGAAACGTGTGCCTGCACGCCGCTCCAAATGAAAACTTTTCAATAAGCTAAACACTCGCCAAGCTGCCAGACAGAGGGAGGAAGACAAGGCAGAGGCAGAGACAGACGGACAGAGAGACAGACGGACAGAACGACAGACGGACAGAGACAACTCCCCAAAGTCAGACAGACAGGAGCTTGACGCCGTTTTTCTGCTGGCATCACGAGAAGCTAATGAATTCGAGCGTGGCGCATAAGAATGTTCACGCCAGAGCTGCCACAGTTTGCCAGAGTTGCCACAAAAAGTGCAATGAGTATGCAGAGTTGGCCTTTAAGGGCAACTCCAAGCTATGCATTTAATTGATTTTGAGTGCCTCAGCAAACACATTGACATTCCAAGGCAGGCAGGCAGGCGACTGAGTGTTTGAGTTTGAGGCACTTTAAAGGGGCAGCAAAAATGATACAGAGACTACAATTCGGCAGAAAGTGTATTCAAGTGTCGCCTCTCCGTTGGCAGACGTTGGCACAAAGGAAGTTTTTAGACAAATTAAATTTGGTGGCTCCTTTTTGGCTTTTTGAATGGCTCCTTTAACCCCACTGCTGCTCTCTCCCTCTCTCTCGTTGTTTGCCTCTGCCTTGCATTTCAATTAATCATACGCACCGTGGCGCGCTGGGCCTTAAAGTGTTTGCCAGTTTGCCAAATAGTTAACAGTTAATGCCTGCTCTGTGTGTGTGTGTGCAATTTGCAAGATTGCTTGCCTGCCTGCCTGCCTGCCTGCCTTCCTGCCTCAAGTAATGCTGTTAATGACGTTGCCGTTTGCCTGATCATCGCCTTTGGGCGCTTCAAAACTCAACTTTCGAGTGTCTATACACAGCCTGCCTGTGTGTGTGTGTGTGTGTGTGTGCATAATGCACACAAAAATAAGGTTAAGAAAACGCTGTGCCCGCCCTCCCTCTGTCTGTCGCTGTTTCTGAGTTGCTCGTTGAAGTGGCGCCGGCCCTAACCTTAATTTATGTACAGTTTGAGCAGCATTGCAAGTGTCTCTGCCCCCTGCCTGCTGGCTCTTGTTTGTATTTATGTGTGTGTGTGTGCATTAATCAGGCCCAGGAAGTACTTAACGTGGCTTAGTAAGCAAACTACTCGGAGTCCTGCCACCCTGACGCCCTGCTCCTCCTCAACTCCCTTGGGTGCCACTCCCTGTCTGTCTGTCTGTCTGTCTGTGGTTGATTGCTGCTTAATTCAGCTTAAAAGATCACTGATCACTGATCATTGATCACTCTCTAGTCGTCGCAGCTGCTACCCCCCCATTGGCGAGTCAGCTGGCTGGTGCTTTGCTGTCAAATAAATCAGAAATTAAGCACCAAAACGACTGGCAGGCAGCACGAACAGAACTATAGAAAATATATTTCAAGTACGAATATTTCTGGGCAAGAGGCAGCTCAGATGGAGGACAAAAGATATATTGATAATCCGTACAAGGACTACATCCAGGGTGAAATCGAGAGCCTGCAGAGCAGCGAGCAGTACATTAGGAGCTTGATCTGCCGCCATGTGAATGCGATACTGGCACTGCCTGTGTCCGACAACCAGTACGAGGACGAGCGCGAAAACCTGTACGTGGGCAGTGCGGGCATCGCGTACATGTTCTGGAAGCTGCACGGCAGCAGCAAGGCCCACGGTCTGTGCCCCGAGCCGCTGCAGCATGCCGCAACCTACGTGCAGCGGGCCAAGGAGTCGGCGCAGCAGTTCAAGCGGAGGAGCTCGGAGCGCTTCTCGTTCCTGAATGGCAATGCTGGGATCTATGCCGTTTCGGCGGCCATCTCAAAGGCGCGCGGGGACGACGACGAGCTGGTCGAGGATCTGGTCAACTTTCGGCTGGGCCTAGCAGCCAGCAAGGCCAAGCTGCACACGAGTGCCGGCCGCGACGAGGTGCTGGAGGGACGTGCTGGCTATCTGTCCGGCTGCTACTGGCTGAACGATCTCCTGGAGAAGGCCATCAGCGACGAGGAGCTGCTCTCCATTTGCGACACGATAATAGAGAGTGGCCGCACATACAGCCAGAAGCAGGGCGGCCCCATGCCGCTGATGTACGGTACCTATAAGACCCACTACCTGGGCGCATTGCACGGGATGTGCGGCATTCTGCACATGCTGCTGGAGAGTCCCTGGTTCCGCAAGGGTTCCGCCATCGCACCCCCAGCTGGCGTCGCCTCGGAGATCAAGGAGTGCATCGACTACCTCGTCGGCCTGCAGGACGAGGAGGGCAACTATCCGTGCTCCTTGGAGTCCATCCGGTACGGCAACTGCAAGACGCTGCGCCAGTGGTGCCATGGCGCACCGGGATTCGCCTACATGCTGGCCAAGGCCTATCTCATCTTCAACGAGAACAAGTACCTGGAGTCGCTGCAACGCGCCGCGGACCTCATCTGGCAGAAGGGGCTGCTCAGCAAGGGTCCCGGCCTCTGCCACGGCATCGCGGGCAACGGCTACGTCTTCCTGCTGCTCTTCCGTCTCACCAACGAGCCGCAGCACCTCCATCGTGCCCTCAAGTTCGTGCTGATGCTCGGCAAGCCGCACGATGCCCAGAAGCCACCCGATCATCCCCAGAGCCTGTACGAGGGCTGGGCCGGTGCCATTTGCTTCCTAATCGATCTGCTGGAGCCCGACCAGGCGGCGTTTCCCTTCATGGATGTTTTCCATGACCCAGCCTAGAGCCAAGCTCTATCCTTTGTTTCTAGTTTTGTTCCTTGTTTTTTGCTTCTATTTTTGTCAACTTTTGTGGCTGTGGCATGCAACAGAAACACAAACACAACCACACCGAAGAAGGAAACATTTCCGAAGATTATTTCAGGCAAAAATCAATCAGTTGAGCGTGGAAAAAGCAGCCCGAAGGCAGAGAGACAAAATGCAGCACGCAAATAAATCGAAAGTGCACAGAAAATGGGTCAATCGGGTATCGTTTATGATGACAGAATAAGCAAAAGATCAGCGACTTGGAGGGGTAAATAGAACTCCATAAATCACACCAAAGAGGCCCACAAATCGGCAGTCGGACTGAAGAGCCCCAGGGGCTTCCGAAAGCATGATTTATGCGGATCAAGCGCGCTAAACGTCTGCCGTCTCTGGTTGCGACTCTCAGGATAATCCACAGACAATGGCTGGCAAAAAGTGGAGGCGGGTTAAACGGTTTCTCGGTGCTGTAAAGATAATCCACAGAACAGGCTGAGACATGCCACCCCATTCCCACAGCCATTTGAATCTATTCAGGTTATCCTTACGATCCAGCAGCAGCAGCAGCAGCGGCAGCCCGCCATGCGGCTCCTTCCCCTCCCAATGCCATATCATATTTTTGTCTGCTCCTTGCTCCTTGCTGCTTCCCCGCTAACAAGCAGCTGGGCCTGACACTTTCCTGCTGCTGCTCATCCCCTTGGTGTTGAATATTATTTCGCCAACAGTTTTAGTTGCTTGTCGTGTGCAGGACTATTACCGTTAGTTGTTATAGCTCTTACTGTTGCTAGTTGCTAGTTGCTAGTTGCTGGCTGTTGCTGTTGCTGTTGCCACTTGACACTAAACGAAAATGAAAATTGTTGGTCGAGCCGCGGGCGTCGACAGCGCTAAAACGGAGCCAAACATGAGGAGGCGACGGGGGGAAACGCACACAAAAAGCCAGCGCAAAAGTTGTAGCCGCAGACGGCATGCTCTTTCCCCAATTAACCCTTGAGTTATGGAACACAAATCGAAGCAAGTTTGCTTTCTATTTGCTGTTCAATCAGCCCCCCAAGCTAGGTCCGATCTGAGTTACTGCCGGCAGCTCTTTCCCCATGCCAACAGTGGGCACGGCACTCCTTTTTGTATGTGCACATGCACATGCGTGCGCGTACAATTTGTTATCAGTGTTGCCGCAGTGCATATGCTGACTGCCCTTTAGTGCTGTTTGCTTTCTTCCTTCCTTCGCTGCTTGTGCTGAAAATTCGTACAGTTTCGCAGCCACTTGAGAAAGTTCTCATGCTCCACCACCCCGCCGCCATCTCTCTCTCTCTCTCCGTCTTTCCTCTTGCTGTGGCTTGGAGTTTTGTCTGCTTTCTGGTGGGTTATTTATAGCTGTCGCTCGTTTGTTGTGCGTATTTTTTAATAAGTTGTTTTTGCCTGTCGCTCGGTTTATATTTTGCATAAATTATGTCAGTCCCTCCCCCGCCGCCCCCTTTAGCCACTCTGCCGACCCGCACACTGTCAACCGCCTGTCCCCCCCACACCGCCTTTATGCTCCACTCATTTGTCAGTAGGTGAGGGGGGGGAGGACAACACTTTAAAGTTTTAATGGCACTGCACACTAGACTACATGCTACGGTGTCGCTCTCCCGCTCTCCCGCTCTCTCCCTGTGTGCTGTATTTTATTAATGAGCTGTGCGCCAAATTAAGTTTAATACGAGTGTGTTTAAATGCTGCTCCTCGTCACTCTCTACCTTCTCCTCTCTCGCTTTGACATTTATCATTTATAATTGTTTCGACTGTGTGGCCAAAGGATTCTCCCCGACTGCCTGATGAAGGAGTGCTTTCGGTTTTGCTTTTCGCTTTCCGTTTTATTTCCTTCCTCTTTTACTTTTTCCTCTGTTTCATTTTCTGTTATTGCTTGGTGTGCGGGTGCGGGTGCGGGTGCGGGTGTGGGAGGGGCGGTTGCAGCAGCAGTTTGCTGTAACGGTTACTTTGACATTTTGACATGCATTAAATCAGTCAAGCATAAGCCACTATGAGACACTCCCTCGCTCTCCCTTGACTACTTCTGGCGAGCATATTCAGCACGCTCTCCCACACTCTCTCTCTCTCTCCCACTCTCTCTCTCTCTCTCTCTCTAGCTTCTTGCACTCTTTCGCTGTATGTTTATGTTGGGTGTTTCTTGGCGGGGCTTAGGGTGGCCAAATGCAAGCCCCTGCAATATGCTTGTGCTTAAATATTAAGCCCAAGCTGAGGCTCCAAATAATATTACAAAATTCATAAAAAAGAGCCATTAAGAAATAGCAAGGAGAGAAGGAGAGAGAGAGAGAGAGAGTTTGTGTTAAATATAACGAAATATTAAAGATGGTTAAGCCTCTTAAATGAGAAGTCTGAGTCGCCGGGAACAAATGCGTTTCCATTAATTGATGTAGATTGTGGCACTTCTGACTGACTGACTGTTTGGTTGGCTTTTGCAGCTGTAGGACAGTGTATGGCCAGGCACTGGTGGTGGAGTTCCACTTCCACTTGTTGTCTGGTGTCTCTTCTGCTCTAGCTGTTGTCCTTCGTCTTTGATTTTATCTGTTCCACGTGTTGTCCCTGCCTTGATTTCTCCTGTTCTACTTGTTATCCAGATCTGCCAGATTTCCCCTGCCCCTGCACCTGCCCCAGATTCGCAAGATCTATTGCCTGTCTTTGGCTCTCAGTGACCCCAGAGCCAGAGCTCGACTCTTCGAGCCACACAATTAATGGCCCACCCGACAGACGCAGATTTGGGGCTGGGGGCAACAACACAGTTTACTCAAAATTTATGTGCACAGAATTTTGCACATGTTAATTGCTACAAGAAGGGGCGTAGGGTGCAGGGTGGTGCGTGGTGGGTGGTGGTTGGTGGGGGGTAAACCCTAACGGGTAACGGCTACTCAACGCCATTACTAACGGGCACACCCAACGGGCGCGACGTCATGCCGGTGTCCGTTGACGCCGAAAATGCTGCGCGAACAAAATGTATGGGATAAATTATCGAATTTATTTATTTTCCTTTCTTTCCTTTTTGTTTTTTCTTTTTGTTGTCAGCCCTGTTCCGTGTTACCGTTGGTACCCCGTGATACCCCGCAATAGCATTTGGGCATATGGAATATTATTTCCCTTCAAGTATTTTCGTTTTATTTGGGCACTCGATTTTGCTGTGAGTTTCGTGAGATTTCTCTGCAGCTCAAAGAACTTTTTTAAATATTTCACCATTGCCCCGGCCCTACCTTATGTAAGTCAGCGATTAATGGGCAAATTGTAGTCGAAAAGTTGTTCGATTTTCGATTTTTGTTCTGTTTGTTTACTTGCAAATTTTCCTCTTTAAATTTCGCTTGTAACAATTTTTCATAATTTTGCCGTTGGCATAAATCAGGCAGCGAGAAAGAGTGGACACAGAGAAATAGCTGGAGCGAGAGTGAGGGAGATGGAGACATTTTTCTAGACATTTGTTTTAGGCAGCAGTTTTGCAGTCACCGCACACACACACACATTTCCCCTCCGCCCCGACATTCCTACGCTTTGCCATGCTGTTCTCTATTCTCCTCTATGGTTTATTCTGTATTTTTCTACTAACAAAAGCAAACAAGGACTACAAAAAAAAGGGGACTAAGGCGAGAGAGGAGGAGAGAGTGCGGCAGGTGCGGGGTGCAGGAGGGGGTGCTGGGTGGAAGAAGCGTAAGCGAGCATGAGCGACGATGTCTGCCACAATTACGACAGCAACAACAGCAAAACCCACTTCGGTCGTCGTTCTCGTTGTCGGTTATTACCGTTACTCTTTGGCGTCTTTAATTAAGGCCTGGCCAGAGGAGGCGCTGCGGCCAGCGGGAGGATGGGAGGTGCCCATGATGTGACAAGGAGACAGGTCGCAGCAGAGAAATTGTAATTTGTTTGTAATTAATATTCCGAGCTTTTATTTATACACTCAGCGAAATTCAATTTCCATGTGCAGTCAGTGGGTGCGGCATGGATGGATGCAGGTGGAGGAGCGGCCACTCTGCACGGAGGTAACATGAAGGTCGATCAGATCATTTCAGAAGGAAAAGTGTGGGAAGCAGGACATGGGATAGACTCGGGAGTACGATTCGGTCAGAAATTCAACTTCAGTTCGATTCAAAAGGATTCCCCGAAGAATTTCGAGCTTAAATATATTTTTATTTGTCGGGCTATCTGGGTACATAGTGCCGCTCCTCTTGAGAACCCTCAAAAAGATCCAAAATGTACCCAATTATTGTGCAACACTCAACGGTCACACCGCACACACACAATGGGCAAAATAATCAACGAACATCAAACCACCAACGCACACGATCATCGGGATTGACCCCCCTTCCCTCCCATTCTCTAGTGGACTCACCTTTGCGGGGGGCGGCAACGAGCACTCAAGTGCGACGCTGCCAACTGTTGGTTAACGGTTTCTCTCTGCCTCTCCTGGCTCTGGGTGGATAACAATGGCAGAGCTAACGGAATCGGAATCGCTCTTTCACTTTCGTTACGTTCGTTTTGCTTTTGGTTTTGGTTTATGATTTATTGTGTGATTTATGTGCACAAATTGTATGAAACACGCATATTTACACTAATGCTGTTGGGTGTCCTGCTGCTGCTTATGCTGCTCCTGCTCCTGCTGCTGCTGCTGCTGCTGCTGACGGGCACGCCGCTTGCACGTGGCGGCGTTGGCTTTGGCTACCGCCGATGACCGCATGGCTATTTGTCCCTATACGATTCGCTCTTTGGGCAGATCTCGATTCGCACTTCTCTCGCACAAACACTCAAAAAAAAAACTGTCACAGATTTGGTTTTTGGATGTTTGGTTGTGGGTTTTATTTTTGGCACAAATGTCGCGATTTTGGGTGGACCTCCGCTCTGTGTGTTGTCGGCTGTTCGATTTGCTCGATGTTTTTGGGGCTGTTTCGTTTTTCGTCCGCGCAGCATCCGTTGGGGCTTGGATTTGGTAAACAATTGTACACTAGCGAGCTAGTTAGTAGGAGCGGGAGCTTTCAAAATCGGCGAAACTTGTGCGAAAATGCAAGGTGTGGACCACATGTAAAACGTCACAACAAATTCCTGGGCAGCAAGGTAAATTACACCCTGCGAGTTCAATCCTCGAAAGCTCACGTCCTATTGGAGAGCTTTCAGTAGGGTGCGAGAAGGATGAGGGCCTTAAAAAAAGTTCGTCCTATTTACCTGTGATGCCATACCTTGCCATGCTCCTTTCATAGAGATGTTCAGGTGGGGAATTTGTTCTCTCACTTTCTCTACTCCTTTTTGCGCTTCAAATATGAGTACAAAAATTCCCAATAAAAATATACCAAAAATGATACACTATAGTAAGGGTCTTTCTGTACTCTATTTCCATCAACTAATATTAAAATTTTGATGTTTATATATCTATCGAAATACATTCCAGGTATCAATAATCTGCAAATTTTCGTTAAGAAAGCTCTCCAATACAGATTGTAGTCCAGTACTAAATGTGGCACCCTACATCGAACACACTCTGCAGCTGGAATTAGCTATGTGCTTACAGCCACATGTTGAGTGTTTCCAGCAAAATGCAGTGTTAACAACAGCAGCTGCCAGTGTGTCCACACCCTGTACAGTAGCGGAACCAGTTCTTCGCTCATAAATATCACAGTTGACAACAGGGCAAAAAGTTGGTAATTTTTAAATTTAATTTTCAAGTTTTATGACTAAGTTTCCAAAACAGCGTTCTGAAGTGGGTTAAGTAAAGCTCGTTTTCCTTTCCAGTATATTTTGGTATATTTCCGAGGGTCTCACGGTATATTTGATCAATAAACCCCCGCTGTCACACTGACGACCAAAACTACGTGGCTGAGAACGAGCTGGCAAAAATAACAATTTACTGGGCATAAAACCAAGAAACTCGAATTAACAAGATGCAACCGATGCTCGCCAAGCTGCTGCTGACTTTGTGCGGCCTCTGCCTGCTGGCCACCGCCGGCCAGGGCTTCATAGTCGGCGTAGATGCCCACAACGAAGAGTGCTTTTTCGAGAATGTCGAAGGCGGCACCAAATTCGGTGAGTGGCAGGCTGTCCCCTAAATACTTAAGAAACATAACCATTGATGCGGTTTTGTTGCATGTTGCACAGGCGTTACGTTTGAGGTAATTGATGGCGGCTTCCTGGACGTGGACATTAAGATCAGCGGCCCCGAGAACCATGTGATGCACGAAAGCGAAAAGGAGTCGTCCGGCAAGTACACGTTCGTGGCACCCGCCAAGGGCACCTACACGGTCTGCTTCAACAACGAGCGCAGCAGCATGACGCCCAAGCTGGTCATGTTCTCCATCGATGTGGGCGAGACGCCGCAGCGTGCACCGGGCGCACCCGGCGAGCAGGAGGTCGGCCACACCAAGCTCGAGGACATGATCCGCGAGCTCTCGGGCACACTGACCAGCGTCAAGCACGAGCAGGAGTACATGCACGTGAGTCTTTGCCGTTTCCCCTCATTCCCTCTTCAGCAAAGCCAATAATTTTTCTTCACCGATGTCCCAGGTGCGCGATAAGATCCATCGATCTGTGAACGAGAGCACCAACTCCCGTGTGGTGTTGTGGTCGACCTTCGAGGCGCTCGTACTCATCCTGATGACCGTCGGCCAGGTCTACTATCTGAAGCGCTTCTTTGAGGTCAAGCGCGTCGTGTAAAAAAACAGAAAAAAACGAGGAATGGAGCGTAGCGCTGGCATACCACAGCGGGGGGGGGGTTGGGGGATTGTGTGGTGGAAAACTAGCTGTGTCTCAGTCTAATTTAAATGAATGTTTAAAAGCCTTTTTGTAATAAACCTTCTCAAACAACAACAAAACACTAAAAATATGCAAATTTCGTTTGCCTGGAACCCCTCCCCACCACCGCCGCATGAACTTTCCAGCACTGCAGACAACCAACAGCTGTGTGTGTGTCAAAATGCTCGTTTAGCTCATACGCTCTTGTTGAGGCTGCAGCATGAGTTTTCCCATAAGTTCCTGCTAGACAAATAAACTTTCGAATTATGTTTACAAACAATAATCCCTTGCAAAAAATTGCATTTGATCTGCCTGTTGTGCGCTTTCCAGCACTGCTCCAAACAGTTGCACAGCTGCTGCTGGCCAGCAGCAGTAGCCTTGTCCCCAACATATTTCGGGTTGATAGTGGCTCTGCCAGCCGGATATGAGGCTGCGGTCATTCGTGCGAATTAATCATCAGCTCAAATCTGTTTTGCACGCTCTGTCGATGAGTCGTGTCATGGGAAATTCTGATTTCAGCGAAAGACTGACCTGGCCAAAGGCGCAGCCGACACTGCCCAGCACTGTTTTGGGGAAGGGGCTGCTCGACGAGTGCCGCCAGCTGGCGAAGCCCCAGGTGCCGGTGAGTCTGGAAAAGTTGATGACCCTATCGGATGGCTTTCCCGTTAAGGTAAGCGAGTCCCTGCGAAGCTCCCCGTCACTCAATAACTCGACATTAATCTCTAATCTCCAAGTTTGGGACCGACAACTGCCGTGCGAGGACGCAGCCGGTGGGCCGCTTCGCGAATATCATGCAGCAGGTGGCCTCCGCCTATCCGGTGATACACGAGCGCACGCTGCTGCTGTACATTGGCTTCCTGGAGCACAAGCTGCAGTTTGGCAACAGCCGGGAGCGGAGCTTGTACCAGGGCATGTCCCTGGTGGCCTTTGTCCAGCGGTTGCTGAGCAAACGGTGCGTTTGGTTCTTCGACAGCTCCGACTCCTATCGGCTGATGGACGGCAGCCAGGGCCACGAGGGCTTCGAGGCGGTGGGCAGCGAGCAGGAGGTGCCGCCGCTGCTGCTGGCCGATGTGCTCAGCTACGACGAGATCAAGCTGTCGGCCCTGCTCTACGTGTCCACGCACTCGGAGTTCATCAACAACGGCAACCGGTGCAATGCCGGCGAGGTGACCCAGGACAAGGGCAGCATCGAGCGCGAGGGCGTCATCATGGGCCTGATCGGCGCCCGCTTCGAGCGACCCAATGTGATGGAGTACCAGGACATCATCGTCTCGCCCTCACAGAACATCGAGGCCAATGGCTATGGCAGCGACGACAGCGCGACGCCCAGCCGCGCCTCCGACTACCGGCGGCTGTGGCGCCAGTTCTACGAGGAGCCCAGGGACTTCCAGTACACGGAGGTTGCGGCGGATGGGAAGCGCTTCGCGCGCGTCGGCCCCGGCTGCCTCATCTTTGATCAGTTGATCATGAAGAAGCGCTACGCCATCAGCTTCGACACGCTGCTGCTGGAGGCGCAGGGGCGTGCAGTGGCCGCGGGGAAGCCCGCGTACATCCATGTCGTGGGCATCGGGCTGGGCGTGTGGAAGATCAGCGAGCAGCAGGAGCAGCTCTTTCTGGAGTCGTTCGAGGAGCGGCTGCTGGCACTGGGCGATCGCCTCAGCCACATTGCCGTGGTGCACTTCTCCTGGTTCCACCTGCAGCGTGTGCGCAGCCTGCACGACGGCGCCACCATGCCCCACTCGGGCATCCGCATACGCATCTCCAATCGCAATCCGGCTGACAAGCTGCCGACGGAGAACATGCTGCCGGTGGTCACCTATGCCTGGGATGGCAATGCCCTGCCCGGCAATGAGTTTTGGGCGGTAAGTTCAAGTCTTTACTCCCACTCCCGTACCCTTTGGCGCGCTCTCTCATTGCTTTTTGCATTTTGCAGGGCAATTTGGTGGGCACCAGCGACCCGGCAGCCGCCTGTTCCACACTCATCACGGAGCTACAGAATCCGCACATCAATGTGGACTACATGTGTGGCCAGAATCTGCACATTGCCTCGCTGCAGCACGGCCTGCTGCACATCGGGGAGTACGCACGACGCGTGACAGCCACCACTGCGGATGCGTAGAGTCTAGCCCCAGCCCACCATGCCAACTTGCAATAAACCCCCTAAACATCTTTTATTTTTAATTCAAAACCCGCCATTCGGTGACTGTTTGCTCTCTTAATATTTACGCAGAATCTGCAGCGCGGATGTTCGCAAAACAATTTGAGTTTGTTAGAAAATTTGACCATCCTTCACAGTGTTCTTGATCCAGGAAATACCCTGAAGATGAAGTTTTCAACCAATCTTTAAGTTTCTTCAACACAACTAGACTTTCGCACAGTGTAATTAGTAGTGCCAATTGCTGAGCTCTGCTTAGATTATGTTTAAATGATAATTAGAGCTGGAGTCCGGTTCTGTTATTTGGAGAGCTTGAGGCTTGAGTCATCGTAAGCCACGCGACAATCAAATATCTTCTTATTGTTTATTTATGCCCATACCCCGAACTCCTTCCCGACTCAAGCGCAAGTTCCTTGGATCTGCAATTTCAAGTGGTAAATGAATATTTTTGGGGCTTCAAGTTAAGCCAAACAAAGCTCTGGCACAGGAAATCGGATGTTTACATTGAGCAAAGGAGAGCGCCACAGCTGCTGCTTCAACTTTCTGCTAGTCTGGGCAACACGAGTGGGGGGAGCTGAGTGCGCCAGGCAGGTGCAGCCTCCGATACGGGAGCTGGCTCAGCGGCTGCTTCAGTGCTTCGAATTTCAAAGCGATAACTATGGATTTATAAACATTGAGCGCAGATCAGTGGCTGCTCCACTCTCAGGGATATCCATGTGCGTTCTGCAAAAAATAAACAATCGCTTCGAACTTCAAGCTGCCAACTGATATTTCCGCGTGAAGGGGAACCCTTTATCTAAGCAATGAAACTCCCCAGAATTGCTGACAGCATTTACTTCGGGGTGCTACTTGAATTGACCCACATATAGGCCTTGGGACAAATGGGACTCTCGGGGCCCGCATTTCAATGAGGAATAATAAACAATTTGTGTGTGGTTTTTGTTGTTATTGATTTCGTTTATTGAAATTGAATAGAATTACTTATTATTGGGGCTGTCAAACGACAGAAATATATTATGATATTATTGTATATAGATAGCAACAAGTAACACAAAATATTTGTTCTTTCCATGCTGTCCGTTAGTCTGTCCGCTGCTTATCGTCTTTTGCTGCTTCGCTAGATTTGTCTTTGTTTTGGTAGAGTTCCCACGGGCGCACACAATGCAGCTCAGATGTACGTAGGTTTTGTTGTGTGTTTGTGTTTGTGTTTGGCATTCTGTCATATTCCATTTAAATATTAAAAATTATCATATGTGAATGTTTGTGTGTGTGTGTGTTATATATAATATATATATATATATATTTAATTAATGCTTAAACAACTTATGAAATATATAAATCGCCCATTTCCTTTATGGTGTATACTTTCGGAAACATCATACTCGTATATCGAAAACAATGATATAACATTCACAACAATTTCTGTGTTTATTTGTTCAACTATAATATGATATTAATATTAATATTATTATTATTATTATATGGGTTTCCATACACTATCAACAATACACTCACGGTACTCCCCCCCCCCGCGCGAGCACCCGGTAACAGCATCAATCAGAGCAGAGCACACTCTGTCGCTCCCTTTTATCTTTGAGTTTGCAGCACAAATTTATATGTACAAATGGGGCGTGGGTGGCACGTACATACATGTGCATGTATATATATATAATATATATCATTAACAAGATGGTATATAGGTATATTCTATTTGTATATATATAAATCTGGTAGTATTTTGCTTGGGTTTTCTGTAGGTAATTAGTGCGAGAAACAGTGTACGTTACGGTATTAAAATCGAATAAACACGAGCACACAAAATGTAACAGTATATATTCCATCACGGTGTATGGCCTTACAAATAGATCTATGCATTTTGTTGTATGAGACAAGGTATGGTATGGTATGGTGTGGTATGGCTCTAGTCAAAAAGGTAGTTAAGTTGGTAGTTTAGGCATAGGATAACATTATATAGGATATACATATAGTATGATGAAGGGGGGTATAAATGGAAAAGGTGTTTGCTTAGGTGGCTAAAGGCTGCATTTATGGCAACAACAGAACCAAAAGTTGTATGTGCAAATGAGTGAGAATCCTTCAAACATTAAACATTATTTGTTATCTATAATATAGAGTTGAATCTGCAATATTTAACAAGAAAAATCACTTGTCTTTCCAATTGTTTATTGTTTCTTTGGAGGATGCTCTGTTGCACGATGTCGGACCCCTATCCACAAACTACTCATCGTAGTCGGCTATCATGAGGCCGCGCTTGCCAAAAGCGCTCATGCCCATGCTCATGCCCATGCCCATGCCCATGCCCAGTCCCATCTGGTGTGGGCCACCGTCTATGCCATCGAAGAGGTCACTGGTAGCGGAGCTATTCAACGAATTTAGCGTCACATTAAACGATCCACCGCCACGGCTGTGGAAGCGTTCCTGCAGCTCCTGTTGTCGCTTCAAGCTGTTTAGCTCATCCCGCAGCGTCTTATTGGTCACACGCAGCTTGTCCGCCTCACGCAGGCCCTCGCGTAAGCTACAACAAAAATATTTGATGCACTCTCCCTTCATTCTGCTCGCCGCCTCTCTCTCTCTCTCTCTACTCACTTGTCAATTTCGCCCTGCATGCTCTTGATGTACTCACAGGCCTTGATCAGTATCTGCGACTTGGAGTCGTTGGGCGGCGTTCGACCATTGGCGCTTTGGTTTACTCTGAGGCCGGGACTGGTGCTGGCCTCGCTGGTGCTCGAACTGAGACTGATGCTCACCGACTCCATTAGCCCATTGCCATTGCCGTTTGAGTGCGCTGGCCGGTAGCGGCTGCCCTCGGTGGGCAGCATCTCCTTCAGCTTGAAGATCCAGCAATTGATTTTGTCGCGGCGTCGACGCTCCACCTCATTGTGTGTGGCGCGACGCTTGTCGTCGCGTTTCTTGTACGCATCCAGCTTGGCGGTGGCTGCTCCTTCGACTCCTCCTGCGCCCACATGCTCCTCCACCAGTTTCAGAGCTCGCATTGTGCTCGTCGATGAGGCTGCTGTTGCAGCCACTTTGGCTATCGTTGCGGCCGCATTGGACTTCTGAGTTGGTGCTGCTTTTGTCTCTGGCGTCGCAGTGGAGGAGATGACACTTTTGGAGGGATGCCCGCCGTTGCTCACGTACAGTATGTTCGTGGATGAGGTGCAGAGTTTATTTACAGTCAGACCACAGCGATCGCTCATCGCGTCCGGCTCCAGCTTGATGGTTGCCTTTGCTGGAATGCTCTGCCCTTGAATGTGGCTCTGTGTCTGCGTCTGGGTCTGCGTGTGGGTGTGGGTGTGGTGGTGTCCACCCAGCTGGATGGGCGCACTGATGGTGGTGTCCTTCACCAGATATATCTCACAGCCCGTGGGCAGCTGCAGATTGCTTGGCAGCAGCGAGTTCAAGTCCATGTCGGGCTCCTGCTTGATGGCGTAGTACTCCTGCGACTCATCCGAGTTCTCGTCACCGCAGATGGTTAGGAGGATCTGGGCGCCGCCACTGCCATTGCCGCTACTGGTGAGGAACAGGCTCTGGCCGTTGCCAAACGAACTGGCCAACAAAGCATCGGACAGGTCGCTGCCAGCGGCACCCCCAGCACCCATCACAGTGGCCGATGTTGTGGTCGGTGTGGCCGATGCAGCTGTGCCTGCGAGATCCAGCCCCAGGTCCAGGCGTTGACGTTTCTTGGCGTTCATGGCGTCCGCGCACGTTCGACTGCCGTCATCTGGCAGGCAACGAAATAATCTGCTCGCGTTTCCCTCTCTGTGTGTGCTCACTGCAGCGCCCGGTTCACGTAACGGTACCTCTAATCGGGTGGGCAATCGGATCGGATTGGATTGGATGAGATCGCTCCAATTGGAGTTTTTGGCTCTCAGGCCCGAAGCGCGCTGGCTGCGAAGTTGCACTGCCGAATGCCTGCCTTTGCTGGACCTGGACCCGTTGCTGCCTGCTTCCCGGATATTAACTGCCGCGGTGGTGTTTGGCCACCAGGTTCTTCGCGATTAGAGGGCTCAACGGCGACTTTTTACGCATTTGCGTTGCCATTTATCCACACCAAATTTCGTTAACAACACCGATTGTTTGGGCTTCATTCAGTGGGACCGCGGAGTTTTTCGATACAATATACTGTCTTACCCTGCCAAATATACCGACATATTCCTTCTCATTTTCAAAATATACAGTGTATATTCCGTTGAAAATCATATTTCTTAACTTTGATATTCGATTAAATATGACAAGCTATTTGGGACTCTCAGCACTCAGCATGTAATTGTATCCGATTGATGGTTTAATTTTCTACAAGATTGGTCAAAATTAAACCCTCTTCCTTATTGGAATGTTTATAAATACCTTAAACTCCTGATACCTTTTTATGAAAAAAAAACTCGACAAAAATTACCTTTCTTACATGGTAACTACACGGTGAATGCTCGTCAAATCATACTGATTTGAGGCCTTGGTGTGCAACTACTTGTCTTCGCCACTGTATCTATTGTGTATATCGATATATATCAATATATAAATACAAATATATTTAACAATTATCCAGCCGACCGGACCGCCCGGGAAGAACCAGCCACCGCACACCCAGACTTCTGGTTAGGCCTGAAAACCTTGACTTCCCCGATGGCGGCCCAAAGTAATAATAAGACGACAGCAGCTGGTTCAGGATACGGACACGGTGCCGGCTCGGGCATTGGCGGCTCCTCGAAGCTGTCCCTCTGCCTGATACACTTCGTGTTGGCCATCAGTTCGGGACTGGGACTGAAGCACAGCATTGGCCGCTATGCGCAGGCAGCCTTTGGCATATTCTTTGGCCACAGCCTGCTGTGCCTGCTGCGGCACACACACCCCAATCCGGGCGCAGTGCAGCGTCTCATCTGCGACAAGTCGCGCCGCTACGCCTCGGTGCTCTTCATCACGCTCATCATTGGGGAGCTGCAGCAGCTGAACAGGCAGCTCCAGCTGGGCACGATTGCCGGCGCCGACTGGCAGTGGATCTCCCTGATGCTGTGGTCCACCACGCTGACACTGGCCATCGGCAACCAGTGCCTGGGCGGCCGTAGCGCCCTCGGTGCGAAGATCGTTCAGCTGGATGCCGCCAATCTGGGCCTGTGCGTCGTCTGGAACATCTACTGCCTGTGGCACATTGCCATTGTCGATGAGTTCTGGTGGTCGCTCGGCCTCGCTCTCCTCGTGCTCATGAACCACTTTGTGCTGTGGCGCCTGCCGCTGCAGTTCAACATAACCCAACTGGAGGTCGGCACCGTGGGCATGTGCTTCTCCGTCATCTTTGCCATCAATGCCATACAGGAGCAGCTGGATGCCAGCTGAAGGCCGCTGCTTCTGCCCTTGGATATGGATATGGCTCCAGGTTCTACGCTTAAGGTTTCCCATTGATTGGGATTTGTTTGTGTTTTTGTGTATAGTTGAAAATAAATCATCAAATGATTTGCATTTTTCCAACTTCCTGCGCTCTTTTAGCACTCCTGCCCCGAACTGTCGCTTTAAGGGACATTGGGTACCATCCAACAGCTGATGCAAGGAACCCCCACTGTGGCTGGACTTGGCTAAAGGCCTTGATGCAGTGCCACAAAAGTCGTTTAAAAATGAATTGCGGGAGAGTGCGAACTATAAGAAAATGAAATCAAAAATGGTCCAAAATATATTCCAACAATATTGAACGTAATCTATAGAGTAGATTCGGGGAATTACATCAATTAAAGTGTTGCCCCAAAGGGAGACCGAACCGAACGATATCCGAGTTCCTCCTCTATTATTTGTAGTACACATTTTTGTTTAGTTTTTTATTGGTAATTGTAAATCTATTTAAATTTATTTTCTATAATGTGCTTCTGGGGGTATTTTTGCTCTGGATTACTCTCATTATCCGTGTCTGCGTCTGTGTGTGTGTGTGTGAGTGCCTATAACTATGTATACATATATATATGTCTGTTACTGTATGCGTATGCGTATGTGTAGGTTATAGATAAGGTGGTGGCGGGGGGGACACACACAATGTACGAAAACTGAAGTACAACTCTTACAACGTAACGTAAATCCAAGAGATTAAGGAAACGAAAAAATATTACATGGACAAAAAAAACACAGTTGATAATCCGAAATTAATTAATATATGTATAAGTGTGTGTGTGTGTGTGTGTGTGTGTACTGTCTAGGCATGTGTGTTGTCATCCTCGACAAAGTCCTTGGCCTGCTCGCGGGTCACACAGTCGATGTGGCTGACCTTGTTGCGGAACCGCACGCCATAGAACTTGTGCGCATTCTCGAGCAACTCCGGTCGGAACGTGGTCGTTATGAACTGCGCCGTGTCGCTCAGCTCATGGATCATGTCCGCCACCGCCTTTCGATGCATCGCATCCAAGGCCTGTCACAGAAATAGAAGATTAAACAAATAAGTTGTGGTGTTAGAGGGGATTCTATGGGGGGGCCACTCACCTGATCAATCTCGTCGAATAGATAAAACGGAGCTGGATCGCACTTTTGTATGGAGAAAATGAGGGCCAGGGCGACGAGCGACTTCTGACCACCCGACAACTGATTCATTTCGCGCATCTCCGCCTCAATGCCGGTGAAGGAGACGCGTATGCCGATGCCCGTGAAGGCATCCGAGTTGGCCACCTCCTTGGCCATCTCCTCGCCCTCGTTGTCCTTGGTCTTCAGTATCAGATAGCCGGCGCCCATGGGCACCAGCTTCTTGAAGACCTTCGTGAAGTTCTGCGCCACCTGACGGAACGTGAACTGGATGGCCTCCACCTTCTGCATCTCCAGCGACTGGATGAGGCCGTGGATCTTCTGGTCGCCCACGTCCAGCTCCTCCTTGCGGCGGTAGAGCTTCTCCTTTTGCTCGGAGAAGCTGAGGAACTGGTCGAGCGCCTTCTTGTTCACGTGATTGTACTTCTTCAGATGCTGATTGGCCTTCTCCAGCTCCTTGAAGATGTTCTTCAGCGAGATGCGACTGTAGTCGGCGTCCACCAGGGGCAGGGCGCCCAGGCCGGCTATCTTCTCGGTGCACTCGTCGATCTTCTGGTTGAACATGTTCTCCTTGGTGGTCCACTTCTCCAGCTGCTTCGAGTCCTTGTTGATGTTCTCCTCGGCCTCCTTCTCCTTGCGCACGTGCGTCTCCAGCTCCAGCTGGAGCTCCTTCTGCATCTGCACCGCCTCGTTCACGCGCTTCTCGATCTCCTCCAGGTCGGCGTTCACCTTCTTGATGCGCTTCTCCGCGGACACCAGCTCCGTGGTGCAGTTGTTCAGCTTGCGCTTGCGATCCTCCACAGAGATCTCCTGCAGCGCCTGAATCAGCTCGTCCCGGCGTCGGAACAGATTGTTGATCAGCAGATTGTCCAGCTTGTTCTTGCGCACCTCGAACTGCATGCGCTGCGTGAAGGCCTCCTTGTTCTCCTGGTTGAGGCGACGGATGTCGTCGTTCAGCTGATCGATTTCGCGCTGGTCCTGCGAGGAGAGCGTCGACTGCAGCTCCTGCTTGAGCTCGGCCTCGAGGCTGATCTTGGTGCTGTCCATCGACTCCAGCGAGGCCTTGCACTGCGCCAGCGAGCGCTCCTTGGGCGCCCGATACTGCTCGATGCGCACCAGCTCCTCCTTCATCAGCCGGATCTCGCCCTGCACCTTCTCGAACACGTCCTTCGACTTGCCCTGCTTCGTCTCCGTCTTCTGCATCTCCGACACGATCGAGTTGATGTTGTTCTCCGTGGACTTCAGCTCGTTGCGCAGCTTGCTCAGCTTCTTCTCGAACTCGGCGATCTGCTGCGAGTATTCCGTGCGCTTCTTCTGCATCTCCAGGCGGGAGCGCGACGTGTTGAAGTAGCCGCCGGTGAGGGAGCCCTTCGAGGAGACCTGGTCCCCGTCGAGGGTGACACAGTCGAGGCCCGTGCTCTTGGCCAGCTCGGTGGCGCGCTCCAGGTTGCGGCAGATCAGCGTCTTGCCGAAGATATAGCGCAGCGCCTTGTCGTGCTGCTCGTCATACTTGAGCTTCGATATCATCGGTATGGAGTCCGGGTCGTCCGGATAGTCGTGGATCTTCACCTGCAGCCGATTGAGGGGCATGAACGTCACCTCGCCGGGCAGCTTCAGCTTGTTCATCTCCTTGAGGATCTGCGTGCCCTCGTACTCCGACTCGACAATGTGATGGAACAGCCGATTGGCGGCGGTCACCTCCACGGCCGTGTAGATGGTCTTGTCGCAGCTGAAGTTCTCTATGACGGGCCCGTAGTAGGCGCGCGCAATCTCCGCCGACTGCCCGCCGCGCTCCACAAAGCTGTCGAGCACCTTGCGCACCGAGTCGCAGCCATTGAGGATGGGTTTGCCGGCCATGCTGCGCAGTGCCTGATCGGCGCGCGACAGCTCCTCCTTCTGCGTCTGCAGCTGCTGCGTCATTTGGGTCTCCTTGCGCCACAGCTCGTTGCGCATGGACTGGTGCTGGTCCTTGGTCTTCTTCAGTTCGTAGTACTTTTTGTTGTGCTCATCGATCTGGAGGCGCAGCTGCTCCAGCTCCGAGGAGTGCTCCTCGATCTTCTGGCCCAGATCCTTCTCGGAGGTGGCGTCCTTGCGCAGATCCTCGACCAGCTTGGAGTGGTGATTGATCTTGTCCTTGGTCTGCTTGCTGATCGACTTGAGCTCGTTGTGGATCCACTTGTCGCGGTCCTCGCGCGACGAGAACTGCGACCCGCGGCCCTGCTTGGCGTACAGCTCCTTGCGCTTCTGCTCCTTCAGCTGCAGCTCGCGCGAGCAGTCCTCCTCCTTGCGCTTCATCGCCTCGTACTTGGGCTTCACGTCGTCCAGCTCCTTCTCGCGCTCGGCTATCGTCACCTTGAGGTTCTTGAGCTCCTGGTCGGCCCGCTCCTTGGACTTGTTGTCGCCCTGCACCTCGTCGTTCAGGTCCACGATGGTCAGATCCAGTTTGGTCTTCTCGCGCAGCAGCTGCTGCTGCTCGGTCATCAGGACGGAGCGCTCCTCCTTGGTGCTCTGCACCTTCTTCTTGGCCTCCTTCAGGTTCTTCTGCACATCCTTGATCTTCTCCTGCGCCTTCTGGATCTCAATGTTGTAGGTTTTCTTCTTGTCCGAGGAGGATTTGCGCTGCGTGAGCAGCTCGCTGAGTGCCTTGCGGGTGTCCTTTAGCTCCGTCTCGTAGCGTATGTACTCGAGGGTGCGCCGCGTCTTGTCCCACTTCTGGTACTCCTTCAGCTCTTCCTTCTCCTCCTCGAGCGTCTGCAGGCGATCCTCGATGGTCTTCAGATACTCCGAGATCTTCTCCAGCTTGCTGTCCGTCTCCCGCAGCAGATTCAGCGACTCCTCCTTGCGCTCATCGTACACACGCGTGCCGGCCACCTCGCGCAGCAGCTTCAGGCGATAGGAGTCGGCCGCTGTGGCCATTTGATTGATCTTGCCCTGCTTCACAATGTAGTACGGATTGGAGCTGGAGAAGCCAGCCGATTCCAGCAGATTGACCACCTCATTGCGCGGCACCACCTTCTTGTTGAGGAAATACTGATCCTTCTTGGCCCCAATCACGCGCCGCAAGAAAATCTCCTCCTTGTCAATCTACAGAAACACACGGGAAAAATGAAAATGTTAATTGCATGAATGTGGAGACTAGATGTTGGCAGACTCACCGGCACTCGGTTGTCCGTGTTGTCAAAGATAATCTCCACATAGGCGGAGATGACGCGCGCGCCAGTGCCTTCGTGGAGCAGCGACTGCCGCTGCTCGGGCCGCAAATGTGTGAATTCATCGCTTAAAACAAACTGAATGGCTGCGAGCACAAACGCAATCACGAATTAGTAATCAATCCTGTATTTTTGGCGCCTTTTCGACTCACCATAGAAGAAGTTACTCTTGCCGGAGCCATTGCGTCCGACCACAACGTTGTGACGCTTGTCGAATGGTTCCACCACCGTCTGGTCCTTGTAACTTTTAAAGCCTTGTATAATAATCTGCAATTGGAGGGGAAGTCGTTGTAGCCGGTGTGTGGGCGTGTGCGGCACTGTTTACCCACCTGCTTGATGTGCATTTTATTATTGTAGACAACGATTTTTGCACAAAATCGCGCTCTTTTTGTTTACAACAAATACATATATGCCCAGCGCTCGATTGTGACCGATCAAGTATGCCATTTGCCCCTCAAAAATATACCGAAATATACCTTCGTATTTCCAAAAAATATACCGTGAATATACCACAGAAAATCATATCGCTTAATTTTGATGGTCGATTTCAAATTATCAGCTAGTTAGGACCTTCAGCACTAAGCTTGTGATTTTACCCGATTGAAGAAGCAATTATCTACAATATAGGAGGGCTCCACTTGATTGGATTGTATAGAAAAAAAAGTTTAAACGGAGAAGACACAAAAAATATCTACTTATCATACGTGGTAAATAATCGGTAAGTACAATCTTGCTTCATACCATCGACTATTGTGAGGAGTATAGACATATTTTGCACCCGATATCAATTCAAGAATACACTTCACTGTTTGCTTTTCAGATATAGCTTTTATTGCTGGTCCCACAGTCTTCAATTGAAGTGCAGTGCATGCGAGCATCATCGTGGAGCTGTATCGGCATCAGCACGAATAAACCTATCGGCACGAATCCCATCTCCAGCCCAGCTGTGTTTCTGAAGGAAAGAGAAAAACTTTGAAATTTTTTGGAAACGAGCTCGCAATGTCGGCATTTGTGAAGTCTGTGTGCCTGGCACAGAAATTGTGTGCGGCCAATCCCGCCCTGGCCCGCCAGGCGGTGCGCAGCAGTAAGTTTTCCCTGGGCCGAACAACTTGCGACCATCTGTGGGTCCGGTCCGGCATTCTGTTTTCTTTACGTAACTTTTGTTACTTTTCGTTCTCGTTGCACAGTGGCTGGATGGAATAAGGACTACAAGCCAGCGCCATTCCCAAAGACAGAGAAGGAGCGCGAGGCGGCCGCCAAGAAGTACTATCTTCTGCCCGAAGAGTACAAGCCCTACGCCGACGACGGCTTGGGCTATGGCGACTACCCCAAGGTTGGCGGTGGCCTCGGAGTGGAGAACAAGGATAGCTACTATCCCTGGGACTATCCCGAGCACAAGCGTAACCTCCACGAGCCCGTAAGTAGACTAGGAGTAGGTTGACCAATATCCAATAAACATTTTCCGTATCCCTTGCAGATCTCGGCGGATCACGACTTGTACAGCGAGGATCGCTACTCACAGGCCGAGCAGCCGCGCTACAGCACCGCGTACTACGTCTGGTGCTTCGTGGGCGTCATGTCCGGCTGCCTGGCCCTCTACTACTGGCTGGAGGACAAGAAAATGTATCGTCCCGTGGCCGCCAAGCAATACCCGGCTGATGGCGTCAAGCACTACACCTTCGAGAAGTAACTGCTGTGGGAAGGGACTCAGTTCTTGCCCACTTCATAGGCCATTTATCCAAGCATCTGTGAAATTAAACTGAAAAGAAAACCAATCGGAAGTCGCTTATCGGTGTAAACATTTATTAGGCAGAAACAAAAATTCAAGAATCGGTGCAGCGCTTCGCACGTCCGAGGACGAGCCAGCAGCCAATGCAAATCCTGAAAACTTACAGACTAAACTTAAGATTGTTTGTGTGCGTTGGTTGGGCTGTGACTTACATTTAAAGGTGCAACAAAGAAAAGGAGAAGCGGAAGGGAAATACTAAGATACGATTAATAATGGATGTGCTTGGATGTGGGTTTGGGTTTACTCCACGACATAGTTGGGATGCACCACGAGCAGTGGATCATTGTCCACTGGCTCTTCTGCTCCGGGCCGGAAGCTGGCCAGATTCGATGTCTTGAGGGGAATGATGACCTGATCGTGGTAGATGAGGCGATCGATTAGCTTCTCGATGAGGTTCTTGCGCGAGATGAGCTCGTCCTCGGACTCGATTTGGTCCGCAACCTGCTCCAGGTACCAGGTGACCACATCGCTGCGCTTCATGCCCGAGTCGCTGCCCTCGACCTCGCAGCGCGCCTCCTCGCCGCGCATGTGCAGCACCAGCATGGTGGACAGGTTCTTGTAGTCCTCGAACGAGAGGGTGAACTTCTTCTGGACGGTGGCGCCGCCGGCAGTGTCTGTGGAGGCATCCGCGTCAGTGTTGGCCGCCGCTCCGTTGTTCTCCGCATCCATGTCATGCTGAATGCCATCGTCCACGTCCAGATCCTCGTCGTCGTCCAAGTGAATGTCGGGCTGCTCCACGCGGATGATGGACTTGTTCAGCAGGCGGAAGGCCTCCTTGACGTGCCGCTCCAGCACTCGATTCGAGCACTCCAGCTTGGCCATGGCCTCGCTCAGCCGGATCATGGACTCCAGCTGGCGCACGGTGATGCGCCAGGTGCTGCGGCCAGCGGTGCCAGTGTCCCGCTGCCGCAGATGGCCGTAGTTCTCGACCAGCATCTTGCCGGCCTCCTTGCCAATGACCGGCTTGAACTGGCGCGCGAATGTGACGTAGCGCAGCACCTCCTCGCGGCTGTAGGCCCGCTCCACGGACTCCTCGATGTTCGAGTGGAGATCGACAATCTTGCGGGCAATGGCATAGTCCACCACCTCGTTGCACTCGTCCACGAGGATGAAGAACAAGTCGAAGCGCGACATGATCGGCGCCGAGAGCTGAATGTTCTGCTGCAGGCTCTTGGATCGATCGTAGCGCCCGTTGATGGGATTGGCGGCGGCCAGAATCGAGGTGCGGGCATTCAGCGTGGCCCGGACGCCGGCGCGCGCAATCGAGATGGTCTGCTGCTCCATGGCCTCGTGGATGGCCACCTGATCGCGCAGATCCATCTTGTCGAACTCGTCGATGCAGCAGATGCCGTTGTCGGCCAGCATCAGGGCGCCCGCCTCGATCACAAAGTCAAAGCTCTCCTCGTCGCGCACCACAGCGGCCGTCAGACCCGCCGCAGAGGAGGCCTTGCCCGAGGTGTAGATGGCGCGCGGGGAGAAGTCCGACACCTGCTTGAGGAACTGCGACTTGGCCGTGCTGGGATCGCCGACAATGCACACGTTGACGTCGCCACGCAGCGAGGTCTTCTCGATGGTGGTCTTGGCCACGCCCCCGAACAGTTGGAGCAGAATGCCGCGCTTCACCTCGTCGTTGCCGTAGATGGAGGGGAAGAGGCAGGTGATGAGGTTCTGGTACAGATTGCGGTCCTTCGACATCTCGTAGATCTTGTGCCACTCGGCGTCCGTCATCTGCTTCTTCATGTCCTCGGCGGTGACCTCGGACATGGGCAGATCGGTGCCGCCGAAGCGCGCCGTTGTGGCCTGGACGCTGCACGCCAGGAAGGCCATGCGGTAGTTGAGTTCGCGCATGCCGAGCGCCTTCAGCCCGGTGACGCCCTCCATGCCCTCGCCGGGCTTGTGACGGGAGCTGGACTCGGCCTTTGTGCCGGGCATGGCCAGCACACTGACATCGGGCACCACGATGAGAGTGCCGGTGAAGTCGTAGCGATCGCCGGCCTGGACGGTTTCCACCAGCTCGGAGCGGAGAATGATCTCGACGGCGCGCGGTATGCAGCCGCGGGGCAGCTCCGCCTGCGTCTCCTGGATGCGGATCTTCTGGAAGTCGAGGAAGAGACTCTTCTCCACATCGAGCATGAAGCGGCGACGGTTTGCGCACACCGGATTGCGGCAGATGGTGGGATTGGTGAACTTGAACTGCTGCTCCACGTTGCGGATCTCGGTCTGGCAGTCCAGGCACATGAACGTGCCCGAAACGAGCTCGGGGTGCACGGGATGGGTGCGCACCACCTGGCCGGAGATGCGGATGAGGGTACCGATCTTCGAGGTGGTCAGGTCGCGCACCTTGTGGCGCGTCGGCACCTCCGTGAAGGCCACATAGCAGTCCTTGTTCGTCTTGAGGCCAATGCGGTCCTTCACGTAGTTGGACACCGACTGGCAGAGGAACGGGTAGACGTGGTAGTACTCCTCGATGATGGCCGTGGCCAGGTTCTGGTCGTACTTCTCCACATCCTCGAAGCTCACCTCGAGCGTGCAGCGATCGGGCGACTCCAAATTGGCGGCCGGACTTGTGTACTTGATTTCGCCATCCTCCTTGAACTCCTCCAGGAAATCTTGGAACAACTTCTGGGTGCGTATGCCCACCTCGTCTTTGACGCGTAGCTGTCCGATTTGTGCATCTGCAACATCCATAATTGTACTCTAAACTGAGCTCTTGCCGCCGTGTCTATCTAAACGAAATGCAAACGCGAAAGATCTTCGACGCGACGCTATGATCGGCAATGTTTACAGCTGCTGTGAGTTTTTTTTGTGCCAATTTTGGCGCCGTTTTCTGACAGCCGCGCTTTGGCATGCCCTAAGGGTGGCAACGCTCTTGCGTGAGCACGAGGCTGCCACAGAGATGGCCAGATCAGACCAAATAGATCAAATCAGTTCAGGTGTACGCTATCGTACGCATTTTAGGCTTGCAGAGAAAGAATGGACATTGGAAAAATTATAATATTCCACAGATTAACTCAATGTGCTTAAATTGAGCGGAGGCAAGTGGTTTAAGTTCGTCGTTTTCCTCGGTATATTTATGGTATATTTTGTAAAAGAGAACAAATACATTCGATATACTTCTGCGGGTCAAACGGTGTGCTTTATCGAGAAGTCCGCGGTCACACTGCGAGGACGTCCAATTTATTGATTCTCTTTGATAAAAAAGTGGGTAAAACTGTGCAGCGCGGGGGAGATCACGTCTTTCGGTCGCATTGGAACGCAGCCCACACCACCTGCCCCAAGTACTTAAACTACATTGCAGCCACCTGCCCCCTCCTCGCATACGACCCCGCATTAATTGACAGTGTCCGCCAGGGACGATACCGAAAATGGTCGACGCTGCCAGGCAAATGCTCGATGAGCTAATGGGCCGCAATCGCAACCTGCATCCTTCGGAGGCAGGACTCAAGGTGAACTGGGAAGATCCAGAGGTGAGTGTGCGCTGCCGGCGGCCAAAAACATTCCATGCTTTTTTGTGCTGCGGCTGTGCTGTCCCACAGTCCCGCTGCCGGCAACAAAATCATTTCCAGTCATCACCGCACATGGTCATGTGTATATGTATATGTATATGTTTGTGTATGTGTGTCTTGTCTTTACATGTGTTTGTTTTTCTATTGCAGTTTTGTCAGTTCTACAATGTAAAGTTCTGCCCGCACGATCTCTTTATCAACACACGTGCCGACCTCGGCCCCTGCGCCCGCATTCACGACGAGGAGGCCAAGCATCTGTACGAGGAGGCGCGTCCGGCACGCAAGCGCCAGTACGAGGATGAGTTCCTGCGCTTCTGCAACGTGATGCTGCACGATGTGGACCGCAAGATTCAGAAGGGCAAGCAGCGTCTGCAGCTAATGCAGCGCGATCAGCCGCCACCATCGCAGCAGGTGAGCAAGCACCAGGACCAGCTGAACACTCTGAATGGGCGCATCAACAAGCTGCTGGCGGAGGCCGAAGAGGCCGGCATCCGCGGTGACGTTGACCAGGCCAAGGATCTGATGACGCTCTGCGATGAGGTCAAGGAGGAGAAGGAGCAACTGTTGCAGCAGTTCGAGGCCAGCCGCAAGGCAAACAGCAAGATGCTTGCCTCGGACCCGAACAGCGCTGACGATCCCATGGCCAGTCCCGGTACAAGATTCAGCGATTTTCCAGCGATCCACGACAGCACCCCTACACCAGCCACAAACCCAGCCGCCAGTGATTTGGCTGAGGAAGCAGGAACAGCAGTGACAGGAAAAGCCTCCCCAACCGAAGTGGACACAGAGGCAACTGGCGGTGGCGGTGGAGTGGCAGCAGGAACCGATGGGGAGGACAAGCCAGACAATACAGACAACAAATCGCAGTCAAATTGGTCGCACGATTCCCTGCCCGAGAAGCAGATGAAGGTGTGCGAGATATGCGGCGCCTTTCTGATCGTTGGCGATGCCCAGCAGCGCATCGAGGACCATCTGATGGGCAAGCAGCATCTGGGCTACTCGAAGGTGCGCAACGCGGTGGCCGAAATCAACGATGAGCGGCAGAAGGAGCGCGATCAGGAGCGTGAGCAGGAACGCGAGCATGAGGAACGCAGGCGCCGCGAGGGTCGGGGCCAGCGCTTCAACTCCTACGACAATAGACGGTAACTAGGCTACGGCTTTGACTGCTCTCCAGTGCTAACAATTATTCTGTTTTGTCTCTTGTCTTTCATTAGCGAGCCGCGCGAGTATCGGGAGCGCAGTCGCGAGTATGCCCCGAACCGTCAGACCTCAGACAGGCGCCATCGTAAGTGTGCTTTCCCACTCTATGGGCCTGCCTCTAACTGATTGTTTGCCTTCTTTCAGATCACCACAAGTCGCACCACGGCCACTCGTACTCGCGCAGCGGTAGCAACAGCAACAGCAGCAACCGTAGCCGGCACCACAATCACAGCCACTATCGTCAGGATAGCCGTGAGCGGCATGGCCGCAGTCGCAGCCGCAGTCGTTACTAGAGACCAAAACAGAAGCAGAAGCAAAAGCAGAACAAAACAAAGAAGAAGCTGAAGCAGAAGCACACCAAAATCCGAGAATATGCGAACACGAACTCAGCCGTTACTGCGCGGTCCTTTGTAGCTAAACCCACTCCCCCCGAATGTACCCAATGCATCCAACGCGCATCCACAACGAGCACGCCCGAGTCCACGTCCCATCTGCTGCTGCGGCGAACACACGAAACACACAAGCCGCAAACTGAAACCGAAAGAGAAAGAGAAGAAGCAAACACCACCATCGAGGTACCCCAAAACAATAATTAACAAAAATTTCAAGTATAATGTATCAGAACAGTAAAAAAAAAAGAAAAAAAGAACAGAGCAGAAACAGAATCAGAAGAGAGTGAGAATGAGCTGAGAGCGTGAGCTGGCAGGCGAGATCAGAGATCCTTGCCAGAGCATGGATCCACCAATGAGGTGAGTCGAACACTTGCTACTCCAGGTATCATCTACCATACCATAACGTACCGTACCGTACCGTACCGTACCGTACTGTACCACAAAGCTCTATATTCTGTTTAAATATATACAAAAACGATTCCTGTGTACGCATACCAGAATAACTTTGTAACTTCTCCACTTTCCACTCTCTCCACATTGTGTGAAAACTGACTCTGAAAACTGAACCAAAAAGACAACACCGAGCAGACGGGGGCACTCGAAAAGAAAACACTTGCACCTTAGAAAGTGGAGCCTTAAGCCAGTGGGAGGGGAGTTATTGGGAAATGAGAACTTTGAGCTCTCGCTTAACTTGATATTTTTAGATGTGCCCTTGATGAGGCACTTGAGGTGATGTGACAAATTATACGACAAAAACCGAACTGAAATTATATTTGACAGTCTATATTACCAAATAAGGAATAGGAAAGGGTGGTTCTAGAGCTTTGTACAGAGACTTGTGCGTCGAGTGCTAATTTGGAAGTATTACTGGGAAGGAACTGGGAGGAACATGCCTGAGGACACTTGAGCAATGAATATTTCGTTGACATTGACTACTGAGGTTGGTAATGGATGTATTGTCTACTCACTAGAATAAACTTAATCATGATTTGAGCAGCAGCATATTTGTCATGAGTTTTGCAAGCTTCAAAGACGTTTCCACTGATTTCTTAGGGAATAGTTGGAGGAAGGCTTTAAGGGCTGACTGAACTGAGTGCTCGGCAGACAGATGAGAACAAGTATAACAAGTGGCCAAAGCCAAGAACAGTAACTGAAACAGGTATTTACCAAGCCATTCCTCGATATCGATATCTCTACTTTGCGCTTAACTAACCCAACAGATGCAGATTCACCCAACGAACCCACCAAAAGAACCCAACAAACCCACCAAAAGAACCCAATACACCCACCAATTCCCCACATCACCCAGCAAAACACACACGCATACACACACACACACTCTGCGTACACACACACATATATGTACATATAAATATTGAGAAACGCATTTGCATGTCATTTGCCAGAACTGAATATGGAGCATTGTTTGGGGTCGTCGTTCCGTCCCTCGGAGGTATGTAGTCGTAGTCCCAACGCCCCAAAACCCATTGCCCGGGATCAGGAGACGCACAAACAAAGGCCAAAGCGAGATCGAGAACATTTGTGGACATTTCTGAATGCATTCTGAATCTGAACTGAAAAGGAAGCAGAAGCCAAACCAGAACCCACATCCACTTGGAAAGGGTTGTTTTGTTGCCGCCGCAGCTTTGTTTGTGCTCTCTCCATCCCAATGAGTGCATCCATCCAACTAAGTGATCCATGACTAAGAAAAGCATAAGAAAAACAGCAACCAACAGCAACGAGGTAATTGCACTAACGAAACACAAACCAATATCGAAATCAAATCAATTGCAAATCGAATATGAACAAAAATCTAATGAAAATCAATCAATGAATCAGAGGGAGACAGCAGAGCAGAGCAGAGCAGACAGTGCAGTGCAGAGCGACCGCGCGACAGCGACAGAGACAGAAACAGAGCAGGAGAAAGAAAAAGGGCAAAGCCATATCCAGAGTGCCGTTATACAATATGTAAACGTATACATATATCTACATATGTGTGTACATATATGTTTGTGTGTGTGTATTGTATGCTCAACTTTCCTACCCACACTCATCCACACAGGTAAATTGTGACAGACAAAAAATAAAGTGCATAAATAAATACCCAAAATGAAGATACATATGTCCAAGTGTGCATGTGTGTGTGTGTGTGTGTGTACATTGTCAGTAAAGATCCCGCAAATTATGTAGATCTTTCCCCTCCATATCATACCATCCATGCCCATACCTAAAGCCTTTCAGAGTGTCATCTAAGTGTTTCCGTTCCGAGACTCACACACACAAACACACATGCATTCTATATATATACTATATATATATATCAAGTCTCCCTTCTACAAGCCTCTCTCCATCACACCCCAAATTCACACAAAATTTTCTCGCACATTCCAGGAGGAACATTCGGAATGCTCTTGAACTGGAACTGGCTTTGGATATGGATCTGTGGTCAAGAGAGGCAAAAAAAGATAGAGAGAGAAAAAGAGAAAGAGAGAGGAAGAGGCAGAGAGAGAGAGAGAGAGATGTATAGATAGAAAGAAGAGCCAACCAGGTAACTTCTATGCCACACCTCCCCCCCACACATAAATGTTTCTTCACGACAGACAAGGCCGCGGCATCGCTCCATCCATGAACCACGAACGCACTCTGCTGCCATCCACGATCCACGATCAACGATCAACAAACTGTCCACCAAGCCATCTCTGATCCCGGAAGAGAGCGAGAGACACATCGCATAGAACAGTTATTAGAGACAAACGAGGTGAATTGCTATTTCTCTCATCAATAAATATACATATATATATATAGCCCTCGACCCCGACCTCCAGCCCCTGTTCAATGAACCCCCCCACACGCATCTTCCACGCTGTCTCCCCAGTCTATGCCTAACGACTGGCCGTCACCGGCGACACCAGACCAGATCTTCTATGGAGTAAGTCCATAGGCTAAAAGCCCTTTCCCTTTCTGATCTCTGGTGCGCCAGTGAATGCTTGAGCGAGGGAGCGCCTTTCTCCAAACCCAACTCCAACTCCAACTCCTTTCCATTTCAATTCAATTGAGTCCCCACCCACACCATCACTTCGTGGCAAAGCGCATCCCCATATTCCCATTCTGTCCCCAAAAAGGAATGATCAAGTTTGAGGACAATTATGTAGAGCCTAACGAATCAATAATTATTTATCTAACCATCGATCGATCGAACGCCCTGTAGTCATGTAAAGATGTTTTTAAGTATGATTTACGTACGCTATGAGTAAGGATACAACATTCTAAATAGTGAGACTCGCAATAATTTTCTAAATAAAGATCAAAACGAATCCCCAAAAACAAGCTGCCAATCTGTTGTTTTATTTCCTGCTGATCTGTCTTCCCATTTTCAGGGTTTAAACATCATTCTTCTTGTTGTAACAATGTCTTTGTTGTATATTTATTTATTTATGTATACATTTAGTGTTAACAATAATAGTCAGATAGTTATACATTTTATTTGCCATTCTTTACTGTATGTATTTGCTTTATATTTAATATCTACAAATTATGTACCGATTAACAGCTGCAGGGGGGGGGATGTACAGTACGGTTCAAATATTTATCTCTAGTTTCATTCTTTGAAACTTCGAAGCGGATTAAGTTGCGCACGGAGCTTTAAGCTAAATATAATGTTGCATATGTACAGTCAATTATGATCGTAGGAAAAGCAGTTGGAGTGAGCGTGAGCAATTTTGCGGTCTAGTTTGGCTTTCTAGTCGAACTTCATGGCAGAATTTTGGGATGCACTTAAGTTCCTATAATTCATTCACGGTAACTCAGTATTTCGAATTTCCTATTAAATACAGTTTGTTCTCGAGTAGACTCCATAAATGCATGCAGGAGGAAGCGCTGTCAAGTAGGAAATTCTGTCCGAGCTGTAGATATTAGTGGAATTCCACTTGTACATCCCTCCTCATATCGTGGAAAAGATAAAGAATATTTTTACATAATAACAAAATGTCTAGTAGGTTACCGAACCAAACGCAGCGAAATGGTATAAAAAAAGGCGTTAATTTTATTACCAAAATAATAAGAATGATCATAATAATATAATAAAAGGTATGCATACAAAATGGTATAATAATAAGATTGATAAAAAATATTTGTTTGGTGGCGCAGGATTGGAAACTTTATGAAATATCTCTTGTGTGTTCTCTTTTGTAATAATTTCGAACCAATATCGAACGACCGATCGATCGAATGCTCTAAAAATGTATTGCCTTGATTATTGCGCGTATCTACAGTTGTTCCACTCTGCTCTCTAAATTCTTGTTCCGCTAAAATTTGTTCAACTTTCAACTTAATATTTATCCTCCACTACCATCCAGCCATTTAAATACTCTTCGAAAGTATTGAGCTCATCAAATGTTGTGTTCAGTGTTTTTTTTTGTGAGTTTTTCTAGGAAATCATACAGTTGTCTCGAAGAACTCTAAAGTTAAGAATTCGACAGTGTTGGACAATGTGTTGCCTAATACCCATACAGTAGTTAGCATATAGCAGGGGAGGGCAGTGAGTGTGTCCTTCTTTATGTGTGCATGTGTGAGAGCCATCCGGGCCATCAAGCCCAGCACCATCCATTCATCCATCCATCCAACCATCTAGATTGCGGGCAGCTCCTCCTCCTGAGTTAGACACCGGAGACTGCCCCGATCCGGGCTGATTCGCTGCTAGTGACAGTGCTCGGTCACATCCACGATGACGGACTTTTTCCAGCAGAAGAGGAAGTATCCCACTGCCGCGCCCAGCACCACCATCAGGCAGAGCCAGACGTTGTATGTCATGAAGATCAGCATGAGCAGGAAGGAGAGCGTCACCTGCAGTATGTGAAGCAGCGTTTGGTACAAATGATTCACCGAGAGCATCGAGGGTCTACGAAAGGGATAATAGTCGCAGTTAGATATCACATCGAAATTGAAGAGCAAATTATGAAATTGAAGCTCACAAACTGAAACGAAAACAGAAACGAAACACGGAACAGAACAGAAACGGAGCATCGATCATCCCGCAGGTACAGCTTGTCCTTCGATGTGTCGGTTGTTAAGTTAATCTACACTAGACTAGGGGTTAGCATTACGTTTAAAGGTTTTTCATCGCTTCTACAGGTGTATTTGGCATACATATATTTACATATAACTAGCTACTGGCACGAGTACTGGTACAATCAATCTGTGGCAGACTTGTCACCAAATACGCGAATGGAACGGAAACAGTTGTGTGATTGTTGCAATCGGACAGACCAGACGCCAGACGTCTGAGTCAGCGCCCCTCACGCTGTGTAAACATGTGCAGCGTCTCTGGGCAGGTAATACGATACGATACGATACGATAATATCAACTTAAAATGTTAGCATTAAATTAAATAATTCTAAGGTTGCACTTGGAGAAATGGCTGAAAGAGCGATACTTACGGTTGCTTGTGCACAACTTCGCCAACGTATCTAAAAGATCGATTGAAGCGTGTCACAGGTGCAGATTCGTATTCGGGTTTGCGGATCGAGTGAACAGATGCGGATACAGATACGGATACAGATACAGTTACAGATTCGGTTTCGTAATACAATATACATCAATCAATTCAATCAGCGATTACGTTTAATGGGGAAAAGCGGTTGGTCGGAATGAGCGTGGATTTTGGCGTATTGAATTTACAAATGATGAACGGCGGCGAGCAGATGCAGAATCATATTCGGATTCAGTTTCAGATGGTGCGGAATAATGATGATGTGGATGCGAATGCGGAATTATGGCATTACCCACAAGAGAGCGGATAGCGGTAACAGTTTACGGGATTTAACAGGTAACGGTAACGGGTAACGGTAACGATAACGGCAACGAAAACGAGAAAGAAGAAGAAAGCATTAAAATTAATATTTACAACAAGAACAGAGGCCACAACGATCAAGCATGCGATACAATCATTGAAGGAACGTGCTTCCACGGGGGGAACCAATAACTTTACAGAGCTGAGGGCAGCCCATGCCGGACTAGTACTCACTGCACTGGTGATGGGGCAGCCGCCGCTGGCGAGGGCAGACGCGGTGCCTCTGGATTGCGCTGTGGACCCGTCACCGGGCGGTACTCGAGCAGGTTGTATGTCTTCCAGAACAGATACTCGCGATAGTACTTCAGTCCCTCGTAGAGCAGGGCCAGCAGGAAGATGGCAATCATCGAACCAATCAGACCGGCCACCGTATCAATGTGCCACCAGGAGAAGAGGATCGTCTCGTTGTACCCAAAGTGGAACTAATCCAAGCAGATCAATCGGAAGATCAGAACGGGATCATGGGATGTCTCGTTTGTTGCTTACCGCCATGGACATCATGTGCTCCATGCCTGTGCCCGTGCCTCCACCGCTGCCGCCGCCGCCATGATGGTGCCCCGCGTGCATGTCGCGCACCGTGGGATCCGTCGTGGTGGTGGTACCAATGGGGCTGATGCTGCTGTCCATCCCACTGTGGTCGTGGTGCATGCCAGCATGGTCGTGGTGCATGGAATGATCTGTCCGAATTAGAGATTACTTTACCATGTCATGTTATCCCCCCCTCGTGTTCCCCCGAGTACTCACCAACACTGGGCGCACTGTGATGGGCGTGGTCCATTTTTGCTGTCTCTGTCTCTCTGGAATATCGTTGATCTGGCGCTTATTGTCTGCGTTACGGGAGAGAAAGTTTCGTGCCGGAATTAAACATTTTGCCATTAAACAACTGATTCGACACGGCCCCAACCCAAATCGCAAGCCACTCAAATTCCAATTAGAAAGACAATCTCTTGTTAGCAACTGCCTCCCTGCCTCTCCATTCACCATTCTCCTTTCCCATTTCCCATTTACATTCCCTTTCCCGATTCCCTTTTCCATTCACTCGTCGACTGCTTTTGTGTGGCATTCGAATTGATATATCTGGCATAACTTCACGTGTGCCATTAAACCGCCCAACGGGATGGGAAGGGTGACCCCCCACCAGCTTCTTGCCACGAGTTTCTTGACCTTGCTGCGGCAGATGAAGAGAGAGTGAGACAAAGAGAATCTTCCACTCTGCTTACCGCTTGGAAGGCACTTCCAGTTCCAGCCGCTAGCCGCTCTGGTTCTACAATGCCAGTTCTCGGCACAAAAACGGTTAGAAATTCTCGACTCGGATTCTTGGAACTCCTTTTACGCTTATTTTGCAATGTGGTTCACCGCATTATTCGGCTGTCTGTGTACATATCTGCTTCTGTGGTTTCTGCATATCAGAGCACCAGCAGCAACAACCGTAATTATGATAAGGTGGCAATTGTTCCAGTTCCAGCCCCACCGCAAACATGGGCAACCATCTGATTGGAATGATCAAATTGACAATTACCGCAACATTTGGCTGATATCGCGAGTAAAGTGAAGGGAAGTGGCTAGGCGCTGGCTCATTTACACTCAATCTGGGCATTTGCATTCCACAATTCTCGCAATGAACTTAAAAATGAGTGAAAACTGCACATGAAGGGTGAAATGTATATTCTGCTCGATTTATGGATTTGCCTTTTGGCTCCACAGTAAATGCACATAGAATATGACGATTCCAAATAAATTACAGCCACGTACTTAAACATCTCTCTCTCTCTATTACATTTATAATGAGATTGTAGTAAGAAGCGATTAAAAGGGAGGGGGAAACCCGTTTCAATCTCAGCGTAAGTATGGAGATTCACAGACGTTGCTTACACAGCAGAAACAAACTGCGCGAATGCAAGTGTGCACATGGGCAGTACCAGATCAATTCAACTTTCATTGAAAGATCGCATATTTGTTTGAGTGCTGATATTACACCTACATATGAAAGCTACACGATACAGTGGAGCGATCATCTTTCAACTCAGGCAACAGCTAAGCTTGAATTTCAGCTTCACTTCTCGGCTCCTCTTTCAGCTCCACTTTCTTGCTGGGCAAATCTCAATGGAGCACAATGGAACTGACAATTGCACTTTCAAGGCGGGTGGCGGTGAGGGCAATGAATGCTATGATATTGCTTTGAGCATCTGTATCTGTGATCTGTTTGGGGAATGTTGGACGGAGGCTAGCCTTGGAATGGCGAGGTACGCTGACCGGCCCAACTGGTTGGATTGGATTGGACTGTATCGTTTGGTTAGGTTTAGTTTGCTTTCAATTTGGGCTACACAAAGAGAGCAAAATGAAAGGGAAATTTACTTGTCACGAACGGAAAGAGAGCGGCTTAACGGTATCGTTGGAGAGAGAGGGATGTCGAAATCAGTGCACTCCAAAAGAGAACCAGCACAATTAACTTCGCTACTTGAAATATTGTATGTATCCAAATCCATAGATACTGCAATGAGTTTAAACTTTAAATAGAGATGGAGACGTGCGAAATCGGTTGCTCTCGCTATCAAGTACATACATATGCACATACACTGCGCTGCCAATTACATACATACATAGTTCCATCCCCAGGAACTATCAGTGTTGCGTCAGCTGATGTCAGAGTAAATGAATGAATGCTGCAAGACTTTCAGCCAGTCACACAATCGTACATTTCCTCTATGCGCATGTATATTATTTCCATATCATATCATAAAACCAAGCACAAAACACACACACACAAACACATGCATGTTTACACATTTGATCTCTGGTACCGTTGCAATCGCTTTGCGAAATGCCATGGAAACGAGCATAAAGATAAAACAAGACCGAGACATGGCAATAGAGAGGCAGAGAGCAATGCAGAGCAACAGAGCAGCTGCAGCGAGTATTTTCGGTTGATGCGTATGGGAGCAGCAGGAATATGGGGAAGAGTGAGGAGGGTGAGGGCGGGGTGACTCTGTTATATCAGAGCGAGTTGTGATTGCGGTCTAAAATTAAAATCAATCAAAAGAGTGAATAAATGACTAGCGTACGTACGCATGCGTGTGTAGTTGTACGCATACCGCTTCGAATGCTAAACCACTGATAAGTGATCGTCAGCACTGATAATCGTAATCGGCATGCAAGCGTTCCGTTTCGTTCCGTCTTTGATTATCGATAAGAGATTTGCTTTAATAGTAATTGTAACTGTGGTTGTTGTTGCTATACTTACAGCAGCTGGTGTGAAATTCTGTACGTTGTTGTTTCAATGCGAATTCTGCGAGAATGCCGGCAACAAGCAACCGATTCAGCGGAATGTGTGTGTGGCTAAAACAATATCAACAATTAACAAAATTCACAAACTACAATCGAATCGTCGTCAGCAATAAATGTGAGCGAAACAATGACGCCCCGCAGCGACCCCGCGCGAGATTAGTGCAGCAACTTTTCAGAACATTTCCAGCTCCATGCACATATCATTTTATCGTTTAACATAAATATTGTTTGCATTTGTGTGCATATACGTATGTTACTACGTAAGTATGGTATGGACATATGGCTTTGGATTCCAGTGGGTGGTAGAGACTCCCCGCCTGGAATAGCAGCACAGGCAATAGCCTCCCCCCGCAGCCTCGCAAGAATGTGGTCCGGCAGCATAGCTTTTCCACTAGTTGACAACGCCCCCCCTCCCCCACCGTTGGCCCTCTTTGACAAAAACCATCTAGTTGCGATAATTATTAAATAAACGCGAGCTTTTTCCACAAATACAGGTTCACTTTTGTGTTATTTAATCACATTTATGCTTGTTCGTGTGTGCACTTTGCCGTTGTGTGCGTATCGATGGATTAAGAAATGTTTGCACATTATCAAGCTGCTGCAATTGTCCAGCTCTATTGTTTATTCTTCTATAATGGCTTGGCTTACTTTTTTTTTGCCGCTTTGATAAAACAAATTGCGTACGACGTCCGCCCGCAGACAACTTTTTCGTACGATTGTTGATAAATTAAAAGCGAACATATGTTTTTTATTCAAAACCGCGATATGTACTCCTCAAAATAGCACTAAAAAATGACAAACAAACAGATTTGCACTGGGAAAGATAACGTTGTTTAATGCTATTTTAGAATAGCAGTTGCCATTTATGTTTAATTTAATCTTTAACAAAACGTTATTAGTTGGTGTTTTAGTGGATTTAAAAATAATTAATAGTAAAAACAGCTAAAATCGTAGTGTGACCAGCCCGCTGCATCCATCTATCGATATACCAGCGATATCGTGGCTCCTTCCATCGCCGGCGACCAACGGAGGCGAATGTTTTGCGTAGTAAATTAAAGAAAACTTTGTTTATTGCCAAAACAGGTGTGAATAACATGCAGTTTAACTCTTTATCTTATATAATAACTGTTCTAATACTTTTTCAAGTCTTTCGCACTCTCTATTGAGCCCGTTGCATCAGTTCCCTGTCCACCCGAGCAGGCAATAACAAAAACACGTGCGGCCCACCCAGAACGAAATCAAAACAAATATCTATTTTGCTATTTTGCCTGCAAAAAGTAAATAAAACAGCCTCAACATGGGAATGGTAACAAAGCGTAAGAAGATGCACTATGGAGATACGCACTTGCAGCGTCGCTGGCGCGTCCGCAACCGCCGCCGCGATCTGGACCAAATCGATGACGATCTGCGCACCCGGAGTGGCGAGCTAATCAATCAAAACGTGGACCTGGAGAAGCCCGGCTTTGCCCAGTTCTACTGTGTGCACTGCGCCAAGTACTTCATCGACGACACAGCCATGCAGGCGCACTTTCGCACCAAAGTGCACAAGCGCCGCCTCAAGGCACTCGAAATAGAGCCGTACAGCATCGAGGAGTCCGAGCGTGCCGCCGGACGTGGCAGCTTTCAGCAGGCCAAGAAGCGCGGCATGGAAACACAGCCCACAAAGGAGGAGGTCATTGCCGGCAAACGCATCAAAGTCGAGGAGAAAGTGGAGACCACAGCAGCCGTATCGACACCTGTTGCCAGCACAAGTTCAACCAGGGCGACGCGCAACAGACCCCAAAAGATGGAAACTTAGCAAGGCCAAACCCATAGGAAGCTGTTGATTGACTAGATGATCCTTCCCCCTGAAGTGTATTTACATTTTGAACATTACAATCGCATCGTATAAATATATTTTTCTCTTTCTGTATATACTCTATATGTACATATTTATGTTTGTTTCTCCGTTCATGAGGATACTTGTGGATATACATAGATGGGGTGGGTAATCTAAAATTATTCGAACTATGCAACACAAACAAAAAAAAACATGGGTAAAATAATGTGTACATGCAATAGCACGGACTTCTCAAGCCACATCCATCCAAAATGAGAGTGGGAGTGCCATTGAGCTGCCAGTAGGACAATGGATGGCGCAGGCTGCGGGTGATCACTGGGGGGGAGGAGCCATGCAAGTGCTCTGCCACCACATATACGTGTGTACTTAAAACTTTAAATAATATTTATTTTATTTCCTTTAGGTAGTATTTTGTTTCACTTTTCTTTCTTTCACTTGAAGTTTTTGGTATTCCTCTTTCCTATTGTTCATGGTTAACACTTTATACTTAAATATATATACGTTTATGTGTGTGTGTGTGTGTGGTATAGTATGCATGCCTTTCCTTTTTGGTTTCCTTTGAGTTGAGTTGAGTATATTATGCAATAGACGGCTACTGGGCTGCTGGCCTCTCAAATTCTCCAGTGAGATGCAAATTTGAGGTAAGTATATGTGGCCGTGGGGCTGGGGTGCTGCAGCGAACAACAAGCTGAGCTGTTTACTGTGTGTACAGATAATGATTTTGGATGTGCATAAATCTATATACAATGTACAGTGGGAGGAGCGGGACTAGAGCCTTAGAGCTTGTTGAGCACCGTCTGGAGCTCCTCCAGTTTGGCGGGATACAGCAGCTGCTGCTCTATCTTCAGCTGCTGCAGAGGCTGTATGCCCATTGAGACGGATTTGTTGGTGACACGGCGACGCGTCATCTGCCTGGCGGCAGCGGTGCGGCCCTTGCGCGGTGGACTGGCGACTTGATGGTTCCCAGCCGTCTGAGAGTTCGGGCCCTGTCCCTGGCAGTTGAAGAAGGAATGCTGCAGTGCCTCGGCCGCGGTGATGCGCTTGTGCGGATTGACCTCAAGCAGGCGCTCCAGCAGATCGTAGGCGGAGGCCGGAAAGACCTCGTACGGCTCCAGCGGCTCGGTCACATAATCACTCTCCTTGCACAGGCAGTTGAAGAAGTATTGGTCACAGTTCTTGCACACCTCGCACTGCCCGTCGGGCGACTCGTACTTCTTCAGCATCTTGGCGTCGCTGAAGATGGCCCGGTGGCGGAAGCGCAGGCACAGCTTGCGCAGGTTGAGCGGACGGGAACGCTGGCTGAGGGTGACCATGCGTTCGAGGGCCAAGGCCGTCTTGCGTATCTCCTGGTCCCCGAAGATGGTGACTATCTCGGCCAGGGCTATGTAGTCGTTGGGCGCCTTGAAGAACGGATACACCGATGACATGAGCGAGAGGAAGATCACGCCAACGGACCACACATCCACGGCCGTGGTCTGGTCCGCGTACTTGAGCAGCACCTCGGGCGGACGGTAGCCAGGCGTGCCAGCCCGCGAGGCGTGCACTTCCTTCTTCATCAGACAGTTGAGGCACACCGATGGGTTGGCAAAGCAGAAGCACTTGCCGCTGTTCGTCGATCCAGTGGCGCTTCGGTTTGTGTTGTACCTGCTGCCGGTGCCCGCGACTGTTCCCGTGCCAGTGGCCGAGCTTGGTGTCTGCTCGGGCTGCTGCTGCTGCTGTTGCTGTGTGGACAGCTGTGGCTGCTCTGGTGCCTGAGCGACAACTTCTTTCGACTCGTTCTGGGCATGGGCAATCTCGTTGACCGGCTTGAGCGGCATCTTGCCCCAGCCGCCCTCCTCGTTCAGCCGCATGCGCTTCACTGCTCCCCCCAGACCTGCATCGGCTGCGGCCACCGCTGCAGCAGCAGCAGCAGCAGCAGCAGCAGCGGCAGCGGCAGCTGTTGTCTGCACTGCCGCCTCCGTCTCCCTGTCTCTGAAGCGTTTGCTGTTCGGACCACCAGCTCCAGTGTGGCGGTTGCGCTGCTCCTGCTGTCCTCCTGCGGCCGTGCCCGCGGCCAAGACCGGCGGATTGACATGTTGGGCCAGCCCAAAGTCCACCAGAAGAAACTCGCGGCGCCGCCGGTTGTACAGGAAGTTGCTCGGCTTCACGTCCCGGTGGATCACGTTGAACTTGTGGACGTGGCGCAGGGCCACCAGCAAGTTGCGCATGTACAGGCGAATCTCCGACACGTCCATCTTGGTGTAAAAGTCATGGAATCGGTCGTGGGGCATGTAGGGCATCACGAAGGCAGCCGAGGCGTCACAACGCATGCAGCAGTGGATCCCAACGACATTGTCCATTCCGCTAATAATGAGAAAGAGTGAGATGGCACAGGATTAGCTTTCGCTCTCTTCTATCTGCTGTGGAGCACCCTTGACTCTGCTTTGCATCTGTTTGCATGCAAAACGCCCACACACACAAACACAGAGACACTCTCTCTCCCCTCTCTGAATTGGCTGTCTGTGAAGGAGCGCGCGTCGACGTCACACAGCGATGAGCGATGGGAATACGTGAGCAATCGCCGTGACTAGTCATAATTATCGTCGTTGTGACGCAATTGGGGCAACGGAATTTGCGCAAATTGCTTGAATAGACACACACAAAGAATCGCCGTGGGTCGTCTGAGGAGGAGGCCACGCAGCCAGCCAGCCAGCCAGCCAGCCAGCCGGGTAATGTCATGCACGTACACACGTCCGACAGACACCCACGCGACCACCCTGCTCTCCACCTAGTGGGCTCTCAATAAGCGTAGGGGTCGCAGCTCGGCCGATCAGCCCCACATGTCAGCGAGATACCCGTGCGCCAGGCGGTTCGAAGCTGTATGGAACGGATTGGGTATGCGTCGGGCTTTTAGCCATTGAAACGGCTGGCCCTAATCTAATCTCAAAGCAGCTGTTGCTGCTGCTAATCGATAAGCGCCCTGCTGTTAGTCTAGGATATGCAAACAAATATCCGCATCTATTTGCATATTCGATTCATCATTTTTGCACATTCCACTAACAAGAGCAGCGTCTACAGTGGGACAGACAGACAGAGTGCTGGCGCATTGTAACTGTAAATGAGCACGTGAATGGTGTGTGAAAGTGCAATAAACGTTCATTCGTCTCGTCTCGCCTCTCGCTCGCTCGCACGCTCGTTCGCTTGTTGGTTCGTTCGTGCTGCCAACTTAAATAAATTGCAATGACGTAGATTGCGAAGCGGCGGCTGGCGGTTACCGGCTGACGTCGGTTACCGACGTCTGACGCAAGCGAGGACGAAAACGAACGAACACCACGAAACCCACTGGGTGGCAGATCTGGGCGAGGCACATCCTCCTACACATGTGGATATTACGCGAGTGTTGGTTGAGTGGGTGGGCAGCTGGTGTATGTGTGTGTGTGTGTATGTGTGTGTGAAGCAACTCTGTTTTGGGACCTACCCCATTTTGGTCATGCACTGAAGCTCCTTCATAATGCGGTCGGGATGGCTGGTGGGTATGTGGTGCTTGATGGCGAACTTGCGCCGCATGCTCTCCGGTAGATTCGCCTCTCGCTTAAGCGTGGCCAGCAGCACGGTGCTGAAGGTGCCATTGCCAATCCGGCTCTGTACGTCAAACAGGTGGCCCACGTCCGGGATGCGCGTCAACAAGTCAGTGATGGCATCTGTGGAGGAGGCAAACAAGAGGTGGCGGTGGTGAGGGGGATTTTTAATCCAGGCCCACACACATTCTACAGGTCCGGTGGCAGCTGGCTGTTGTGCCCGAAAAAAGACTCGAAAATGCGCACTTACCTTCGCTTTTGTTACGCAGCTTCATCAATCTGGCTCCTGTGGCCATATCGACTTCCCCTTTCGTTGCTGGTGCGGTTTCTACTGCTCCCATTGCTCCTGCTCCTGCCTCCTCTGTGGCAGTCGGCAACTGCTGCTCCGCAATGGGCGTTCCGTTTTGCTCCGCATTGGACTGCGCGGGTCTGTTGTGCTGCTCCGCAAGGGTCTGCTGGCTGGGCGCAGGTTTCGCCACTGGACCGCTCTCATTAATGTTGAAGTGGTGATTGAGCTGCTTCTGGATATGCTGTGTCACTGCGTTTCTGACTTTGGTCGGCGTATCCAGGCGAGCCGCCTGCCTGGCCCCAGCGCCACCGCCACTGGCATTGCTAACGAGGACGATGGGAGTGGTGCCAGCGTAGAACTGGATTGTGTTCGGCTTTGATTTGCGGACATGCTGTGCGTGCTGCACATGCTGCTGGTGCACGGCCATCGGCTCGTGCTTGATAAATTGCTGCTCCGCCATTGCAGGGTTCAGCTAACAACTGGGTCTGTGTCTGTGACTGGACTGGGCTGGGCCTGGGAGTATCTTATTGTGGCAATTGTGCACTTCTGCTGCTGCTGTTGCTGTTCATTGGCTTAGTCCATGAGGGGGGTTGCGGGATGAGACGAGCTTTTTTCTCCACAATTCCCTGAGAGTGTGTGGATGTATGTGTGCTCGATGTGTGTGGGTGGGTGTTGGTTGGTTCGTTGGGGGACTGCGACGCGACGTCCAGCGCTGCCGTAATCCAAGAATAAAAGACGGTTCGGTTCTCTGCTACTCTGTTTCTGTTTCTGGGTGCACGCAATACATTTTTAGACCGAATTGTCGAGAGTTTCAACTGCAACTGACGTGCCTCGGGCTGCCTGTAACGCCAACTTACTTTTCTTCCGTCTTGCCTCAGGGATGTGTGCTTTAGTTTTAGCGTCAGCTTCCGATTGTTGTGTGCGTCGCCCCAGTCCCCGGCTTGGGCTGCCGCCTGGGCCACCCTTCACTACACTGCCCACTCTTCTTCAGCGTTGGCGTCTCGCCTGTGACGTTTGCGGCCTGGTGGCGCTTCGTTTTGGCCAATTCCCTGCGTTTGCAAGACTGGAAACATCTACTGAGCCCGCACTTTGTCTATTATCTAATTAATTTTCGCAAACTCCCGTCCGGCTCTCGTTTTTAGGTGGCCCCGAATTCATTTCGCACTTATCAACAATCGATAGACAACAGGCGCGCCAGCTGATGCGAATATCGATGGCCTCGACTGCTCCGAACTGCCAACTTGTAGTTATTGCGAATAACGAAAATATACATTTATTTAACTTGCAATTTTATTGTGGATTACGTGCATACACAAATTGTAGACTTTCGTTTGTAGGTGGCCCCTAATTCATTTCGCGCTTATCGGCAGTCGATAGACAACTGGAGCTCCAGCTAATGCGAATATCGATGGTTTGGACTGCACTGGACTGCCAACTTGTAGTTATTGCGAATACCGAAAATATACATTTATTTAACTTGCAATTTTAACGTGGATTACGTGCATACACAAATTGTAGACTACTGGATACTCTGCCGATTATGCGGCTAAAATTAGGGAGCCCTAGGCAACATAAAATAATAGATTTGGATACAATACATAAAACAATAGACAATTTAGGGAAATTAGCGCTCGTTGTGGGTGCGGCGATTGCCGTACTCCTCGCGCAGCAATGGCAGTCCGACGGTGTAAGTGGAACTGGTGGCGTTGATCGATTGGTTCGCGTCTGTGCAGCGGACACAGGGCCCAAAGAGGCGCAGCATGCGCGTGCCCATTGAAGATTTCTTGTGCCGGTTCTGAGTTTGGGACTGGTCCAGGAGGATGGTCTCGCTGGTTCCCGTGTTATCTGGATTGGTGCTCTGACTGATATCAATGGACCGCACCTCGATGACGCGATTGTTGCGCTTGTCAAAGTAGTAGATGCCTTCGCTCTGCGCCCAATCCTTCATCGGCGGAAATATGGTGGCTTGTGGCTGGCGATGGTAGCGCGAAGGTGAGCGCAAATCGAGGGCCTCCACTTCGATGGCCGAGTCGTTGCTGCTTGGGTGGCTGCTCTCCGAGTTGTTGGGTGCCGCAGCCCGCTTGTTGGTGCCAGCTGCTCGGTTGGTGGTGGGGGCACCGCCTGCAACAGGAACAGTAAAGATGCAAAAGAGAGCAGAGACAGCCAAGCTGAAAGGACTCACCATTGGGCTCTGCTTCGGTGCTGTCGTGGCTAAAGTCCAGCGAGAGTGGCTGGATGTTCTTTTTGGGCTTGCTGGGATTGGGCTGGCGGGCGGCGGGGGCCACGCTTAGCAGGGCCACCTCAATGGAGCCGGCACTGCTGTCGTAGGTGAGATTGTTCACATTAGAGCCGGGCAGCGGCGTGGCGGTGTCCGCAAGGGCCAGTGAGAGCAACTCCTGGTCGGTTTGCGTGGCCTTCGGAACGCTCTCGGGCAAACAGAAGTTGAGGGATCGGAGCGAGTGACTTTGATTGCGTTTCAACTTCTGTTCGCAGTCGGTCAGATCGGTGCGCAACATCTCACAGCTGCGTCGCAGCTGCATATTCTCCATGGCCTTCTCGTCCAGCTTGGCCTGCAGATAGTCGCTGTAGGACTGCAGCCGCTGCTGCTCGTTCTCCAGACGCACTTGGACGTCCTTCAGGTCCTCCTTGTCATTATGCAGGCGCTCATTCTCGCTGAGCAGACGCTCGTAGCTGTCGTTGGCCGCCTTGGCGTCGGTCGCACTGCTGTTGTCCAGCGACACATCCAGATTGTGCAGCTCGTCCGCACTGAAGTGGGCCGCGCGCGCTCTGTCTGTGGCTGTGGGCGTCAGATACTCCGGCATGGAGCTGTGGTGCTGGAACTTCTTGGCATTCCGGCGCTGCTGGTCCTGCTCCTGGATGTCCGCTATGTACTTGGCCACTTTGCTGGTCACGTGCTTGTAGCGCCGCTTTGTGTACGCCGAGTGTATGTCCTGGTAGGAGACAGACTTGCTGCTTTGGGCACTGCCCATCTGTCCTACTGTGATAATTCCTTTTGCCATTGCAGACTCTGCGAAAGCTGCATTAACGACAAAGATAAGTGGAGTGAGAAACCTCTGCAGGATCAGAGGTATTTGATTTGCTTACATTTATCCACCTCTTCGCCTTCCTCTTCTTCGCCCTGGTCACGGCCCACGGGGTCACTGACACAGGTCTTGGCACTTTTGTTGGCGGCATCGATGAACGAACTCTCGTCGGAGCAGTCGCTGGTTAAAAATGGCGCCGGATTGCGCTCAAACGCCACTGGCTGATCGTGTACGCTAAACTGCCTCTTGAACTGTCGCGGGGCACCAGCGCCCACGCTGTTTAGCTGCTCAAACAGTTCGTCGGCGGGAAAGCTTTCGTCCTCCAGACTCATATTTAACAAAATTACAAAAAACGACGACAAACCGCGAGAAGAATTTTACACAAAAACACTACTATTGGACCGATGACGACTGGAAGAGCACCGTTAGGCACAAAGAACTGCCAACTGCACCAAAAAATAATATATATGTATGTACAAAAACTAGCCGTGTTTCTGTTTTCATCGATATGAGTGAAGAGAATATCGAACAATACTAATCGATGACAGGCAATGTGCTTTGCTAGGCGTTTGTCATTTTTTAGAACATTCTAAACAAAAAAGGCGCCGGCGTCAAGTTGCTCGAAATTTCTAAAATTCCAAACTATATTTTAAGTAAAGCGAAATTGTGCGATGTCGATGGAACAGGTAAATAGCATAACACACTGTTTTCCATGTGAAATTAAATCTCATTCGCTTTTACCCATGAAAATAGCTCAAATCTGATGTGGCCGAGTTCGCAGCCTTGCTGGAACAGGCCAAAAGCGCCCGTGTGAAAGGTGTGCTCACCACGGGCAAGGCAGAGGTGGAGCGTGAGATTGTCAATCTGGAGATGAAGGCACGCCTGGCCGCCGAGCGTCAAGCATCCGGTTCGAGCGAAGCCAAAAGGTGGGAATTCATTTAGAGACAAGCTTTGTGTTGGATTAACCTACCACCCTCCCTCCCCCACAGATATCTGCATGAGCTTACCGACTACGGCTGGGACCAGAGTGCCAAATTTGTGAAGCTCTTCATTACACTGAACGGCGTACAGGGCTGCAGCGAAGAGGCCGTGACCGTCAACTACACGGAGACATCGCTGCAGCTGCATGTGCGCGATCTGAGCGGCAAGGACTTTGGTCTGACGGTAAACAATCTGCTGCACGCGATAGATGTGGACAAGAGCTATCGCAAGATCAAGACCGACATGGTGGCCATCTACCTGAAGAAGGCCGAGGAGGGCGTCAACTGGGACGTGCTCACCTCCATACAGAAGCGCCTCAAGCAGAAGCAGGACACCGAAATGACCAAGGACACTGACAATCCCGAGTCGACGCTGGTCAACATCATGAAGAAGATGTACAACGACGGGGACTCCAAGACCAAGCAGATGATTGCCAAGGCCTGGACCGAGAGTCAGGAGAAGTCGCGCATGGGCAAGGAGTTCGACGGCGCCGGTGGTCTCGATACACTAGGCGATCTTTAAGAGCACTCCACGTAAATTCATACAGTATAATAGCACTACGGCTTTTGATATGTACATACATCCAATATACATAGACCCACATAGAGAGGGGCACTGCTCGATCGTGCATAATGCATCCCCATTACGCTCACAATTTGATGATAAATAAAGTACCCGAGAGTGGGAACTAAGTTCACAATTGAAAGAATTGTCTGTTGCTTGCTTGGTGTTTGTATGTATAATTGTATATAGGCGTTTATTAATTAAATTCATGTGATTAAAATCAATAGATTGCTGCAGATGGCAACACACCTTCTGTTGTGGTCTTATCTATTCTCCATTTGCAATAGTTAGTGTTCTGCTTTCGAAATTAATTTGATAATTACACATTTAGGCTGTATTTAAAATACATTTTATATGTTTCACGGATATACGTATATCTATAACATTAATCATTGAACCGATACGCAATCGAATAATGCTTCCCCGAGGAGCAGGAAGGGAGCTTCTTGGTGCTCTTCTCCCCCCCCACATATCGCTATCGGATTTTCTATAATTAATTGTTACATCCCCGGGGGCATTTGTAGCTATTTGTTGTGTATCGTGTGAGTGTGTGTGTGTTTGTGTGTGTTTTTCGTTGAAACAATTAAATTGCTTCCATGTCTGCTCTTTGTTAAACAATTACTCATTAGTTTGGCAGCGCTCGCACGCGGCGTGCCACTAGATTCTTGCATCTAGAATCTATATTCCTATGGGTACAACAAATTGCATTATTTTGGTGTCTGTCTCCAACTCAAATCAGCAAAAGGAAATCAGTAATTGCGATAATTATTCAAGTACATAATAACTAAACAACATGTCAGTGTATCGTGTGTGTGTGTGTGTGTGTGTAGGAAGAGAAAACACGATTACAATTACAAATACAAATACAATCTATATAGTGTTAATGTCATAGGTACGATGTACTAAACTAAATGTTAACTTTGCTATAACTAAAACAAATACAAAAAAAAAAAGAATATAAATGAAATAATTAATGTTTTTGCATGTCTCCTATGCAACGTGTTTTTTTGTTGATATATTTCATTCCTCAGGGTGTCCGTTACTCTGTCCGTTACTCCGTCCGTTACTCTCTTCGGGGTCAGCATACATTTTGTGACAGTTTCATCTTTCAGTTTTGGTGTGTATCTATGTGTGTGCTTGTGTGTGTGTGTGTGTGCAGATAAAGAGCGCTTCAAATATAGGTAGGACTGTGCAGAATTGAACTAAGAATTGTTGCCCAGTCCTGCACATAAATATGTTACAGCCTTGAAACGCACTCTACACAGGCATAGCCGTGGAAGAGTTTTCTGTTTTCCATATGATTGTGTCTCTATATTTGATGTGTGTATATAATAGATATATCTATGCTGTAAATGTTGAGTTTTGTTTTGTAAAAGCTTTCGGCTACTCACACAATGGATCTATCGATCCGAGGATCGACGAGGACCGTTCCCCCTCTGCTAGCGTACAAAAATAAATGTGTTTTGTTCTCTTTCCTACGAGTCGAATTAGAGAATTGAATTTGCCCGATATCTCCCATTAAAAATTTCTAGAAAACTATTCATACTATTCGATATAAGTTTGTATATTTTTGGGGATTAAAACTTTTCTGCTATTCCTAGACCAAAAAATTCATTTTAAAACTTTAATCTCGAGTCTTTTGCAGTGTCTTTTAAATCCGATCATCGCCCGATCTTCAGCACAGACCGACAAAGTTGGGTTTACAAAAAGAGCGTAAGATACAGGAGACTTATAGGTGTCTTCCCCGCTCACAGTTTTGAGGATTATATCGCACGATTGAGTATAGAGAAGAGAGAGAGAGAGAGAGAGAGAGAGAGAGAGAGATTGTGTTTATGGGCAAGGCTGTGGCAAGGTGAATTTACACTTTTACACCTCACCACAGCGGATAAAATCACCTTCTCTAGTATATTCACCACCTTGGGCTGTGCTGAGCTTGTCAGCTAGCTCCTGATTCAGTTTCTGATTCTGTTTCTTATCCTGATTCTTGCTTGAACGTTATTCTATGGCCTGCAAATCGATTACACTTTGGGTTAGCGGTATTTCGGGTCCCACTTCCACTTCCACTTCCATTCTTCCATTCTTCCATTCCTCTTCTCTGCACACATACAAACACACAGCAACAGCAGCAGCAGCAGCAGCGGCGGCAGCAGCAGCAGTGACAATTCCAGCTTGGCTTTAATCTAACTTATGGACTAACCCCAAAACCCAATCCCAATCCTTTCTTTACTTTTCCTTTTTCCTTTGGGAGGTTTTTAGAAAACGCTCGGAGGCAGTCGGACCTTGGCGCTGGCGGCGGTTGAACGGGCACGGGCACGGGCATGGACACGGACACGGACGCTTGGCGCCCTCAGGCGCTGCTAGTAAAGCTCTGTATGATGCCGCACCGGTGCCGGGATCTTGGACATGCCCCTCTCCCGTCTGGGCGAGATAACGTTGGTTGCTCCCGCTCCCGCTCCCGCTGGCGCTGCCGTGCCTGCTCTTGTTCCCGCTGCCGCTCCTGCCACTGTGGTGGAGTGATTGCTCTCGCACGAGCTGGCCGCAGAGCTGCGCTTGGAACGCGCCTTGGCCGGGGGCGAACAGCTCTCGGAGCGTTCCAGGTTGCCATTGCTGTGGACCCACGCAGTGGTAAAGTCCTCGTACACGGGCGTCTTCTTGCCATTGGAGCTGGCCTTGCAAGTGGCTCCTCCCACACTCGTTCCCTGTCCAGAATTTGCCTGATTGACGGCCGCGTAGCGGGAGAGGAGTGTCTTCATCTTCTCGAGTATCTGGGCATCGTTCTTGGCGCTGCTGGCCGCCTCCAGCAGCTGCTGTGCCAGCGGGGATGAGGCGTGGTTCTTCACCGGGGATGTGGTCAGGGAGCTGGTGCAGCCGCCGCCGCGCACTCTCCGCCCGTTGCTGTCGTAGAGGATCTGCGAGGAGCGCCCCTTGCCGCTCCTCTCGAATGGGGTGGGCGCCACAAAGGTGTCGGGCGTGCACTGCGGCCGACGCTTGTGGTTGCTGAGGTCTGCTCCAGCAGTGCGTCCGCTCCAGGTGTTGGTCACATCGCGCACCATCGGCAGCTGCGACGCCTGCCGCGAGGCTCGTGGCGGAGGCGTTGGCGTTGGCGTGGGCGTGGGCGTGGCGCGGGTGCGCATGGAGCGGTAGACGGGCTGTTTGCGATTGAAGCCACCAACGGGTGGGCAGCTGCCGAGGCCACCGCCACCGCCACCGCCACCGCCGGCGACGGACGAGCGGCTGCTCAGATCCTGGAGACTGCCGCCGGCCCCGCCGCAGGTGCTGTTGTCGATGCTGCGCCGACGCTGGGCCAAGGGCGAGCGGGGAATCTTGCTGAGCAGCGCCGCAGATGGCTGCGCCTCCAGCTTGGCGGAGGACATTGCCGGACTCTTGGCCATGTCCACGGTAATCTCGTCATCGGTGATGAACACGCCCGAAGCCTCGAACTTGTCCGGCAGACACTTTGGCAGGCTGAGGATGGCCGGCAGCGATTGGGGACCATCGCACACGGAGTAGTCCACGTCCACGTCGGCATCCCCATCCGCATCCGCATCCACGTCTAGCTCCTGGCCATTGAGGTCGTCCTCCTCCTCGAGTATATCCGCAGCTGCCTTCTCCGGCGGCTCATCCGAGGGCGAGATTTGCGAGTCGCTGGACGTCTGATCGAGACGCGCTGCAAAGGTGGCAAAAGGGGGAGCCCAGAGCTTAGAGGCAGAAGCGGAAACGAGGGTGAGAGGGGGGGGGGGTGGACTCACCATTGGTTTCAGCGTCATCCATCGAGGCCTGACTGTGCAGGGACTCGCGCTTCTGGGCACTCGATTGGATCACGCCCAGACTGCGGTAGCCCTCGTCGCTGATCTCGCTCCCATTGTCGCTGATGTTCTCGAACTTGCTCGAGCTGCTCTGCTCCGGCGCGGACACTCCTCCGCCCGACGCGGAAGTGGCAGTCACAGCCTGGCCCACTCCCACTCCCACTCCCACTCCCACGCCGGCCTCCTCCAGGGAGCAGCTGTAGCCGCCAGGCAGCGACTTGGGCCCGTTGCTGTAGGAGTCCAGGGAGCTCTGCTTCTTCCGCATGTCAATCAGCCGCCGGGGACTGGGCGACATGGAGCGCCGGGCCAGCCCAGGGGAGCCCAGCAGCTGCTGCTGCTGCTCCGAAGCGGCGGCCCCAGTGGCTGCCACGATCCCGTTGCTCTGGATGCCATTCAGAAATTTACGCTGCGGCGTCGGACTGCGACTCCGGTACTTGCCCGAATTGGGGGACAAGCTGTTGCCATTCTGTTGGACCACAGCCACAGATGATCCTCCTGCAGCTCCTCCTCCTCCTCCTCCGTTGCAGTTTGAACTGTTGAAGACGCGTCGCGCAGCAGGCGGTGAGCTGGGAAAGGATTGTCAATCATTGAAGGATCCACCCAAAGTTATGCAAATCCGAATCACTCACCGCTCGAATATCACCTGAGCCTTGTGCAGCTCGATGCCGTTGCTGGGATTGTGATTGGGCGACTGTCGCGGTATGAGACGAGCGGCCACCGAGCTGCGATGCTGCGCCCGGCAGCGGCAGGGATCGTGCTTGTCCAGATAGTGGGCCAGTGTGTCCCAGCCGCCACCCACGCGCACCATCACATGGGAGCGAAGTATCTACGGACAAAAACGGGTACACATAAGCGACTGCTGGCGCCTTGCTGGACAGCGCCTGCACTTACCCGCACAAAGATGAGAACTTTGGTGTCGCCAATGCGGTACTTGCCCTCGGACACGCGCACCATGGGAAACTGGGACGGGCATGTGCACTTCTCAACCAGATCTCGCACCTGTAAAGGCAAAACATTTGTGAGTGTGCAAGGATAGGGATAGGGATAGGAACAGGGTATGGATAGTGCCCGACAGAGCCAGTAGCTTGGCTATCACTCCCCTTCTCCGATCACCCAAATTAGTGCCAAGGCTGCATTCGATATTTATCGATACTCAATCGATAACTGAGTGAGTTCTGTGTGGCACTGTAGCGCAAAAACGAATCTGTCTGTGCCCTGACACCCGCCACGCTGCCAGCCAACCTCCCCCTGGGCCGACGCTGACCCACGGCATTGCATAAGCCTGACCCCCCCAGTAGTCGTCGGACTGCCTGACCGACTGACTTGACTGCTGCAGTTGGAGCGCCGCTTCGCTGATGCCAATACAGATGCCGAGTCCACGGTCCACGAAGCTGCAGCTGATCCAGCGACGAGCGATGACGATCATCGGGGTCACCAAATAGTTTTTCACTGCATAAATTCACGCGCTGCCATTGTCCAACCAAACAAATGATTCGCGGAGAGGCAGCAGGCGGGGGATACCCTTGCCCTAGGGAGAGCCAAGCAGAGTCCATGGGAGCCAGCCTGTGCCACAGCAGCAGCAGCAGCCTGAACTGACGACTCTGTCCGTCCCAGCTGGCGGCTGTGGACAAACAACAAATGACGACTTGGCCCGAAACTCCAACTACAACTACAACCCAGACTCGGGCTCTGGGCTCTGGGCTCTGGGCCTCTGAGCAGCCTGGATTCAGCTCTTTCTTCGAGACCATTTGCTACTGTAGTTTGTGGCAACGACCAGACGGATGGACGGGCGGCAGAGAGGACATGGAGGAGAGGGTGGGTGGGTGGTGGCAACGCATTTGCACCTTTGAACTTTTGCAAACTCCTTCGGCAGCTCTGAATGCGTGCCTAGGTGGAGCTGCTGACAATAAATCTTTCGACTGTGGAGCCAGCGTTGGGTGGGAATGGGGAGGGAATCTTTCTCTCTCTCTCTCTGTCTCTGCGTCTGACATGGCAGAGATCGAGGATCGGCGTGACTCTGACGCATACGAGATTAGCTGGCCATGGAGCGATGGGGCGATTGGGCGATGTGATCCTGGCCTAACCATAAATCGCATGCCACCAACATTCACGGCAGGCAGCCAGACAGACAGACAGACGATGCGATGCGATGCGGACGTGCCACAAAGCCTCAGTCAGAGTCAGAGTCAGAGTCAGAGTCTCCTACAGCATATCGCGAGAGTCGACAAATGATCGTGGCTGGTTTGCTATTTCTCCCCGCTTACTCTTCGGCTCAGTTGTGGCTGCCGTTGCTGCTGTTGGTGGCACATCATTTGATTTTCGACAAGTTGTTGAGGCTATTTGCTGATTTGGCTGCTGCTGTGGCTACCTCCGATACAGCTCTGGCTCTGGCAAATAGATTGGCTGAGAGTTGAGTGGATGGAGGATCGCCCGGGCAGCTTGTGGCGCTGCTTCATGTCCATGTCCACGCCAAGACCATCTATCCATCCCCCAGCTGCTGCCATCGATCGCTGCTTAGATGTTGCTTTTGCTGCTGCTTTTGCTGCTGCTTTTGCTGCTGCTTTTGCTGCTGTTGCTGGCGGCGTGAGGAAATGTTTGTGCATGGCTTTCATTAGTTTGGACATCGGTGATTTCCATTGCGCCTAAGCCATCCTATCCTTTATCCTCCATCCTCATCCTTTGTGGCTGCTGCTACTGCCGCTGTCGTCACACTTGCAATTACATTGACAATCGCAATTGTTTGTAATTGTTGGCTTGGCACATCGTCAGTCAGCGACGCCAATGGGGTAACATCTTGTCAAATTAATTTGACATCTCAACATGGCAGACAAACTGCCGCCCCTAATTTGGCATATCCTACAGCCAGACAGCCAGACAGACAGATAGACAGACACCCAGCGGAAAGCCCACCAAAGATTACCTTAGATTGGTTTTCGTTTTGGGCTTTTGGCTGCCTTTCTGGCGGGTCTGCCAAGTTCCCAACTGGAAACTTAGCCATGGCTAAAAATGGTCTTGACAAAACTTGCAGGCAACAACAACAATCGTGAGTTGGGCCATGAACAAAATGTACATACATACATTTTACATACATTTTACATATGTATATGCATGTGCTTATGTATGTACAAATGTACAAGCAGAAAAAGAGAAACCCCCGAAAGAAGTGGACACTGAAACAGGAACTGGGAACTGCAACTGCAACTGCAACTGCAACTGGGACAGTGACAGAGCCACCACCTCTGGCGAGAGATTCTATTCGGACTCACCATCTCATCGAGGCTCTTTAGATCGTTGGTGATTATCTGGGGCTGGGGACCGTACATCAGCATGGGATGCTCATCGGCATCGTCCTCGTTCTCCGAGTCATCGCTGTCGTCGTACAGGTCCGTCTCGGAGCCCACAGTTGTGGTCGTTATTGTCGTGGATGTGGCCGTGCTGCTCAATGTCGAGCTGCAGGCGATTGCCTCCGTCTGTGTGCCGCTCTCCGATGAGTTGGCGGCGCCATTTGCCTTGATGTCGGCAGCGATTTCCCGATCGATTTGTCGCTCCATCTGCACCAGCATAGGAGCCAGCATTCCTGGGAGACAGAGAGAGAGAGAGAGAGAGATGCATTGGAGGGTGAAGTGTGGGGAGATCCCTGTGGATTACTTACCAAACTTGGCGCCTCTTCGGGCCACCTCCAGCAGGCAGAGGATCACGTGCTTCTCGTTCTTGCGCATAATCAGATCGTCCGTCTCGAACAGCAGGCACTCGATGATCTTGAGGCTCTTTCTGCAAGGGGATTATCGATTGATTGATTGATCGATCGATCGATTAGCATCGATAAGCGATAAACTCACCTGCACCAAGTTATGAAGTTGGAGACATTGTCGCGAGCAAAGAAGGTGCCGCTCTTGGCCGCCGGCAGGTAGTGGATGTTGCCCAGGGCCAGAATCGGTCCGGCCAGGCCGGATGTCATTGAGCGTGTCATCGATTTGTTGCGCGCCTGTCGCCGTGCCAGATAGTCCTCTGCCGCCTGGCGCACATAGTTCGCGTGCTGCAAACAAAGAAGAAGATGGACAAGGAGGAGCGTGAGGAGGTGCACAAATACCCAAAATGAGCACAGAGACACACAACAAGACAAGAATTTGCAGCGAAAGTCAAGATAAAAATACAAAACTAGAAAATGCTTCTATTTAAGCTTCCTAGCTAGAATATAGCACGACATTTTTGGGCTACCCTCCCCCAGGCCCCCGACTGTGTCAACCCCCCCTCGGCCAATGTTCGCTGAGTGATCAACGAACGCTGCGGCGATATTTCTAGAGGTTTTTTTTTCTGCATTTGCTTTTGTGCTCTTTTTGTCAAACGGTAAATTCAGGACAGACTAGAGATGCGCGAGCGCGAATCTGTTGTTTCACGATGCACTTATGTATGTATGTATGTGAAATGCATATAAACTTATGTACATATTTACATAGATATGTAACACATACAGAAAACGTATTCATGAAACGGTAAATTGGATCCCTAACCCCCTTGCACACCTTAATTTAATTCTGAAAAGTGTTTCAACCCCAACACCTATAAGTCCCCCCCTCTTCTGTGCCACACGACAAATTGCCATTGGCACATTTGACGTTTGAGGTTATATCATCCGCAATCCGAGATCCCCACGGCCCGAATCCCATATGCGATGCGATGCGCTGCGCTGCATTGCGCTGCTGCCAGCAGAGGCAGCGGCAGAGGCAATCGTGTCTCGACGTGTCAGGCATTTCCATTTGCATCATTCCATATTCATTTATGCACATTTTGTTGTAATAATTTAATATTTAAACAATATTATTATAGCTGCTTCCCCTGCGACACCCCCCCCTTCCCAGTGCGCGCTGCTTCTTTTATGGATATCTGACAAATGCTTTATTTGGTGTTTATTGTTTCACCTTTCCATAATACCCTAGACCCAAACAAGGGCATTCCCAGCAATGGCAACGGCAACGGCAACGGCAACCACATCCCCATGGAGCGTGCATGACGCTGCTCTTCTGCTGACGTTTGCTGCTGCTGTTGCGGAATGAGTGCGGAGTGCAGCGGCAGGGGCATGACAGGGGAGGTCTAATTGTAAATATGCATATCAGTTCATACCACACGGATAGTGGAGAGGGAAATTAAATATTTCAGTGGATTTGCCTTTTCTGGCGGTGGCCCTAAGTTAGGGGGTATCGCTGCGTCGATCCTTCTCTGCTGCCTCTCCATCTTCATTCGTCTTGGGCTCTTATCATGCAAGGTAAGCAGCGACGGCTACGGCAACTGGGACAGCGACGCCCACGATACATTTTGGCTACCCAGAGGCGTTAAATGCATCTCCCCGCCCCCTTTGCCTATCACCATCTTCTGCTTCTGCGCTGCGCTGCCCACGAACAGCATTATAATACCCTAGCGGAGGGTATTATAGGTGCAACGTACAGAAGGAAGCGTAGAGACAAAAGCCCAACCAGTGTACCTGCAAGAGTAGCAAAGACTTCGGCACACGTTTCGTTTCGGCACTGCTTTCATTTCACTTTGGCCGTTGGCAGCAGCACGGCAGTGCAGCAGCGCAGAGGGCATCGTAGCTTCGCTTAGAACCGAAGCCCCGCTTGTTGTATTTGTGTGTTCGTGTGACTGTGCGTTCGTGTGACTCTGTGTTCGTGTGAGAGGAGCACTCTGAAATGTTTGTTGTTGTGTCTTCTTCTGAATAATGCATAGACAGCGGCGGGAGAGACGGGCGCAAATGCATATTTGATAATCCCCCCACAACGGCAGCCAGCGTCACCTTTTCACTTTCGAAATTCGACTGATGCTGGAGGATGGAGAGTGCAAGTGGTTGGCTGCATGGTGCATGGAGGGATGGAGGGGGGTACAAATGGATGTATTATGACATCAAAACTTTCTTGCATCAACAGAGTGGCACGTGCCGGTGGTTGTTTATGGATGTTAATGGTAATGAATCGATGTAGGAGCAAATAAATGCCAAAGAACTTAAAGCTTTCCATATCCCACAGTCCACAGCCGTATGCACATCCGCATCCGCGTCTTCAGAGTCAAGTGTTGAAGCAATTAACGTGACTTTAGCCTCGCTCTTGCCTTCTCCTCCTCATCTTCCTTTTGGTATTCCTTCTTATTTTGCGCTGCTCAAGTGCGAGGGCCAGAGCGAGACGAAAGTGGGTCGACCTGTGGGCCACCGCCACTCAATCTGGCCACGCCCCCGCCCCACGTAGCGTGTACGTGACGTTGATGCGATGTATGATGTATGATGGATGGGCTGATGGCAGGTGGCAGAGGAAGAAGACGCGACGCGCAAGGAAGAAGTCTATGAGAGGGCGGATGAGGAGGCGTGTGCTAGGGTGGGGAAGAGGGACAGGCTTGCAGGTGTAAGTGCTCTGCTCTGCTCTCCGGTTTCGTTACGTTTGTCGTCATAGCGTAATTAGCTTAGATTTCCGACCCCCCACCTATTGCAGTTTTCTCCTGTGCCTATAGTCCAACCAGCCAGCCTGACCTGCTGCAAAATGTGTGTCAATATGGCGTTAATAACATTACATGACTGCTAAAAGCAATTGCAAAAAAAAAAAGAAAAGCTCTGTCGCATTATAACCGTAACGGCTCAGTCGTAAGCGCGGGCGCGAGGCGCCGACAGAGGCAGCAGCAGCTGCAGCAGCGACAGCGACAGCGACAGCGACGCAGTCAGTGCAAAGCAATATTTTTCTGCTTCCGCAAAAGGCAAATTAAATAAAAGAAAAATGAAAACAAAATTAAAGCGCGCCGAAATAAAAACACACATAAATAAAATGACATTGCGAAAAATGCACAAGAAACTTGAAGTGAAGAAGGGAGCTCAAACTGTTGATACCCTGCAAGATCTGCCATGGGAGATGGGAGCTGAAAATTTGTCGAGCTATTTGCCTGTTTTATCTTTAGGCAAGTGCTATCTCCCTTTTTCAGTCTACCTCGCTTAGTGGGGATAATGTTTCTGTTGTACGCTCTGCAAGGGTAGACCAAATTGAAAATAAATAAACAACGCACAATAATTGATTTGTGCAATTACATGGACCCACACACACACACACACACGCACGCACAGACACTGTGCTGGTGCTCTGCTAAGCGGATTGTTCAGCCAACTGTTTGTTCTCGCATTGTCGATGATTGCCGTCATCGATTGGTCGCACAAAGCAACTCCGCTTTTCGCTACCCGCTTTAAGCTCTCAGCTCTCATCTAAGTTCGCTACGTTTCAGCCGAGTTCAGCGCCAGTCGTTCAGTGCCCCACGCCCCACGCCCCACTCCGTGTTCCACTCCGCTCAGAGCTCAATCAAAATCAGCAACTGTCCACGGCCCATTCAAAATCATATTTCAAGCGTTTTCCTTTTGTATCTTCTGTGTGTCTGTTGTGTGTCTCTCTGGGGTTCAAGGTTCTCAGCGACGACGACTTCCTCTACCCACATCAGACACACATGTCTTTGGCAATGATAGATCGATCAATGTATTCTGCTTGCAAATGATTTCTGCACAGTCGAAGCGAAACAGCCGAAAGAGGCGAATCGGCAACAGCAACAAAACCAACAACAACAACAACAACAACCGCAATGATCGATCCATTGATCTGAGAGCGACTATCGCTCACCTGCTCGGAGGTCTTTTGATCTTGGCTGGGCGACGATTAACGGTATTTCCATAATGCCCATAGAAGGCTTTTCTGTCTCTTTCTGCTTTGGCCACAAAAAGTTTGTTGCTCTCGCGGTGCGGTGTGTGGGAAACCATCGAGCGACCGATAGATCGCGATGAGATCACTCCAGAATGCGGCGATTACCGATGACGATTGCAGGACTGGCTGGAATGCTAATTCTGGAAATTCGAGTAGCCCAAAGCTCACCAGAAACGGAAGTGTTGCTTACCATAACCTTGCGTGGGCATTATATTATATTGCGTGAGTTCTTGACCAGCATCAACCTTTCAGTCAGACACTTTACTTGATGCCGATGCCCAGCTACCAACTTCAATGGCTGCAACTGCAGTACGAGTCTGCCCCATAAATCAGACTCTTTGCCTTAAGTGTCGCACACCCTTCGTGTACGTAGGGCTAATAAGGCGTTAGGGTTTGGGCCCTAGCAATAACAGCCAGAGCAGAAGTGTTTCTATGGCTGGATGGCTATTTGGTTATGGCCAAAGCTGGCAACAGATTCGATGCCAAAAACCAAAAGCTGAACCAAACCGAACTGAACTGAACTGAACTGGTTTTGGTGTTGTCGTTGTTGTCGTTGTCGTTGTCGTTGTCGCTGGGGCCAAAGCCAAAACGAATTTTGAATGTGGGTGAAGTTGTTAAAAATGTGGCAAACGCAATCGAGGTTAGCCGGAGACAGAGAGACAGAGAGACAGATACAGATACAGAGAGAGAGAGAGAGACATACAATGAGTTGTACCTATTAGTTGGCGCATATTTAGTTATAAACTTGAATTTAGACTCTGGCCAAATTAGAGTCTGGTCCCATGTGCTCAAGTAAGTGTATTTGGGCCCCCCCAAAAGTGAGAGCGAGACGACGACCAGCAGCAGAAACAAGCAACATCAAGCATTACAGATACAGATACAGATACGGATACTGATGGGTTTACAGATGAAGATAAAGAGAACACCGAACCGAACCGAAACATGAATGGAAATAAAAATAGAAATACATCGAAATGGCAAACGGGCACCACCCGAAGACCCACTCGAAGCCGGAGTCAGAACCAGCCACCAAATGTCGAGAGATCTGTTTGTCGCGCTTGTCCAATTTGTCCGATTTGTCCGATTTGTCCGATTTGGTGTGTGTTTCCTGCTTGGAAATCCAGCCAAAATCCAAAATGTCGAGTCTTAGATCTCAGCTGAGATCTTCAATAGCTTCGATCCATTAGCGAGTTCTGTTCGCCTTCGTTGTGACGCTCAATACCGATGTACGAGTGCAAATCTTGAGCCTTATTTTGTCTTTAGAATCTGCAAAGAACTGTGAGTATCAGGAATATGATTACAATCTCTCCATTTCCTCTGC